GCTGGGGCGTTCTAAGCTTTTTCACTGACCAAGGCTTCTGGTTTCTGGAATATTTCTTTTGTACCTGGAACTTTAACGGAGTTCTGATGGCAAATACGTCTATTTAAAATACAAGTAAGTGACGTTGCGGGAATTAGGACTCGTCACCCCTGAATCTCAGTTGCGAAATAATTCTCACTGAGTACTCAGTAGGCATTCTGGTTTCGGGCTCCACCATACTTATTGGTACCGTATGACTGTACTGATTCGATTGATGATTCTCATGGCTTTCTCATCCCTGCAGGACTTATGCTATCTGGGAGTACTGAGTACTGAGAGTACTGAGTACATGTAAGCGACGACTACGAGTACCGGTACCAGGTACTCGAGTACACAACATACACTGTGGTGGATTAGCTGCTGTATTGGTGTTCCAGCGTTCTGCATGTGGATTCTGGATGCATTCATTTTTAATCGGAGCTATGCACGGTATTGTACATGTATGTCGAACCAGTCGGTAGCCTTCGCTTTGGTTCTCGGGAGAAGAAGGAACTTCTGGAACTTGGAACTTGAGATGTAAGACTTTTGGCAGGTGCTGTGGGCCTTGTGTACTCCTGGCCACACACATGAGCCACAAAGCCGGCAGACGAAAAAGTGAGGGTAAAGAGAGGGTGAGACAGGCGAGAGGGGCCGGCTTGGACGAAAGGCACGAATGAAGGGTGGTGGTGCACTTACCACGGACCACCACTCGGGAATGATTTCCAAGATTGACCAAGATCCCTCCATGAACCCGACACCAGGACGCCAACAACCAGCCAAGATGAAGTGTAACAAAGAGAAACAAAAGGCGGGACTATTCAGGCGGAAGACACAAGCGCACAAAATCCATCACTCACCTAGATAACAAACAGCAACAGAGAGTGGCTGTCAATGAAGAAAAAGAGATCCGAAATGGAGCATCGCCATGGTCATGTGATCGTCATGGTTGAGTTTGGTGGCAGGAAATGAAAAAATGATTTGGCGAATCCTTCCTTCACATGAAAACTCAGAACAAAGGGCGCGAAAGCAAGCATTCCATTAGATTCGAAATGCATCGCTAACTCTAGCACATGTGCATAGCCAGGACACCGCCCATGCATCCTCTCCGTTTGGATACTCACTTAACTCTAGCACATGTGCATAGCCAGGACACCGCCCATGCATCCTCTCCGTTTGGATACTCACTTTTTGGAGATGACAGAGAAAATTCGGTGTTGGAAATGGCTGTGAAGCCTACCCAAAAGGGGTGTTTGCGACTCTGATTATTGGAGTTGACTTTTTTTCTATCGCAGAATTTATCCATAATGCAAGTAAGCAGTACTAGTTGGCAGGTGGGTATCCGAACGGACGCTCGCAGAATTGTTTGCCCTTAGATCAGTTGTAGCGATTATCTAGCTGGATTAGCGAGTGTGACCATGGCATCGCGGAAACCACCATTGCCGCCGTACCGGCTGCATATTGTATCGCAGAACCCGCAGAATTCCAACCAAAACAATGCTGCAAGTACACCGTATGGAAGTCATCACTGGAACCCATTCCGCCAGCCACATCAGCAGCACCATGCCCAACAGTATTGGCAGTATGACGCACTCCCCCCACCGTACCCATATGGACCATACTATCACCATTACGCATACAGGCACCGACATGACCCAAACCCACCGAATCAAGCTTTGCAATATCGGCATCAGTTCGCACCACCGAGTAATGTCGCACGACCAGCAAGTGCTTCAAATTTGTCTACTGACTCTGTATTCACTGTGCATCAGTTCGCACCACCGAGTAATGTCGCACGACCAGCAAGTGCTTCAAATTTGTCTACTGACTCTGTATTCACTGTGCAAGCAGGAGAGTACGTAGAGGACCCTGGTTGCTATCCATGTTCCAGCAAAGAGGAGGCCAAGTCGCAGCTGATCGAAAAGTATGGAGGATTCGTGGACATGCATGGTGTCAACAAGCAATGTATCAAGCCTGATGGGACTTTCGAACTCAAGAACGGTACCAGAGTTATCAAGTACTGCTGTCGTGTAGGTGACAAGGACGACCAAGGGAGGAGGAAGTGTACGTGGCGTGCACAAACAAGAGACCATGGACAACTGTCCCTGTCATCACACCGGTTTCGGAACTTTATCCGACCTAGGAACAAGCAGCACAACCATGACACAATGAAGAAACCTGCTTCGTGCAAAGATCAGTATGGAATCGCCCCTGCACTTATGCCACTCGTGCAGACATTCCTGGCGGAGGAGACTGGACGAGGCAGGTGCATCCTTCGGATTACAGCGGACGAGATAATGAAGGCGCTTAACAAGACAGTTCGGAGCGACGTTGCTTTCCTCGAGCACCGGTACATGGTTGTGGAAACCGAGCATCGGGATCATCTAACACGTCAGCTGCGCAACTATGTTGCCAATCAGAGAGAGAGCTTTATCAAGTCAAAGCTTTTTGGTCATAGCAACCTTCGAAGCAACGATGTCTTTATGCGAGTCCTATCGCACTGGCGAATGGTTCTTCCCAGTACGTACACACCACGGTGCGATTACCGGAGCCCTGAAGAACTATCGGTAGCACTGGGCGTTCCTTTCTCGAAGAAGCATTCAGGCAGTGAGCAGATGTTCGCTATGAATCTTGGTGGTGGTGACATTGTACAGCGATACAGGAATTCGGTCATGACCCATGAAGATGTGCCGAAACAGGATCTGGACGAGAAACTCGAAGGGGCGTTTATTGTCTTTTCTCCGACAGGTCTTTTTCAGCTTATGCACTTGGCGAAGAGGAGAAAGGGAACACGGCAACTCTGTTGTGATGGAACTGGTGGCATGATTCGAGATCAAAGCTGCCTCATCACCGTTGGAAGTGTTTCAGTGAAGCTTCGAGCAGCTGAGCAAGAGGTTACATCATCATTCAGACCTATTGTATATCTTCGTGCTGGAGGAGAAAGATTTCACCCATATTGCCTAGTGCTCTACGCCATGAGAGATTTGTGCTTAAAGTGCTTTGGCATTGAATTCACAATCGACTGGGGGACCTCGGATGATGCCAATACGTTTGTTTCCGCTCACACATTCTTCAAAAGGAATGCAGGGCTTTGTGATAACAGCCCTGTTGTCACTGAGACTGCCGATGACACTGACGAAATCGAATCATTCGGTGAGGTGTACGAGCTTCCGCTTACCCAATGCGAGGAAACCTTCACGCGAACGCAGAATAACAATGACTGCCAATTGTCCCTCCGACAGCATAGTGCAGACAGCGACGATGACTGCATTGAAGATGAAGCTGTTCTCAATTGTTTCTTTCATGTTGCCCAGGCATTCGCACAGAGAAAGAGTTATGTCAAGAAAATGAAGAATGCCGACTTCGCTGCTCCGAAAGGAACTGCGTATCGACACGTATGCTCTATAGCCAGTTCGAAAACTGTGGAGCAAAGAAGAATTGTCACAGCATTGTACCTAGAAGATTGGAGGATTAACAGAGATGAAAAGGAAGCGGCAGACCATCTCGAGAAGGAGTATTGCCGACATCCAAAATGGAATTGGAACTATGCATGCAGTGGGGAGGTGGGCGTTTATCCATCCAATTGCCCAAACGAAAGCTTTAACAGACACGGTATCAAGAGCATTGCTGCCGACTGTTCGAAGAATGCTTCTCTAGCTTCATTCCTTGTACACACGGCACCCAGGCTACTGCAGGAAGATGCTCACAATCGAAGCGATCCTTGTACAATCGAAATACCGCGATCGTCCTCGGTGTTCGCTGTTGGTGTTACTGGTTTCATGCAAGAGGGCATAGATATCGTATCACAAGGGAAAGACGAGTATGGGAATCCAGCAAGTTGGCTTGCCAATCTTACGTACCGAATTGGAATACCCATCGACCAAGGTCGCATCCGTCTGATTCAAGCTTCACTGGATGGTGACCAAACGTTGTTCCTCAAGGGATTTGCCTACCGTGGGAAGCAAACAAGGCAAGATCTTATTGCAGACGCTATGATCCAAGCAACAAGGTCTGTTTGTCATCTGCAATGGAAGGAAGGAAACATTGTGGGAGATTGCGAGGACTGTGTAAAACACCTTGGGTACAGCTGTCCTGGAGCCATTTACCTTCGAAGCAAGCACGGTCTGCTGGACTCGAGGTTGGAGATTCTTCGAAAGTCTGACGCCAATGCAAGAGGAGATTCAGCCAAGGCCTGTGCTCGTGGCAATACTAAACGATTGTACACAAGTGGTCTTGCAGCATCCAACAAGAAGCGACGAAGTAGATCCAAAATGCTAGAGACGTTCGATGCGTATCTGGGAACTCTGAACCAGCAGCAGCTTGTGCGACTTGTTCTCTATTTGCAGTTGCTTCCAGGAAGGAATCGCACAGATCCCCTTGAAGGGCAGTCAACGCAATCATTGTTAGAAGTCCTCACATCATTCTATGACAACCCGATGGCCTACCGTAAGATGCTGCGCAACGATAAGACCAAGTCAACAGAGACATATTCGGTGGTCAAAGCTCTTGCTTGTAAGATGAGCGATGCAACCAAAGAAAATGGACCAGACAATCGCACCTGAGGGGTGCCTGTTCGTGACGAAGCCAAAACATAATAGTAGCTACTATCGATAACTATTCACCAAATAAGATAACTATTCATCTATAAAGGCTATTGCCGTGCTGTCCCTTTTGCCTTGTGTCCTATCTTGTTTCATGCACAAGAAGTGATTCCAAAATTCCATACCGGTACCAATCTTGTGGAGAAGAGCTTTTTTATTGCATGTTGAATGTTCGAGCCAATGTGTTCATTGGCTCTCGAGAGTCGAAATATTGCCAATGCCATCAAAATATTGGCAATGCCGACACTCCCACTGCCATTCCGACTCTGGTTTTGTTGGGAGGACTGTCATGTTCGTGGAGTTTCCTTTGTGCCTTCCTGGCACAACATTCATCCGGTCGCAAAGCAATCGTTATCAGAACTACATCACCCCGAATACTGCAAGATGGAAGGCAAGAAACCAGTGGCAGCTGTTAGGCCTTTGGTCAATCCAACAACCAAAGATGACGGCGCTGTCGAACACACCACTTACGAGGAGTACCAGATCGAGTTGGAGTTCTGCAAGGTGGTCATCGAAAAGCTCAAGGACCAAGGATTGGATCTGTTCGCGATTGCGAAGAACAAGCTGCTGAAGGTCAATGCCGGACGCTTGCGTCATGGTATGAAGAAGCTTCGCGATTGGGTCTCTGGCTATGACATGACTGGCATCTGGTACATCAAGTACAAGAATGAAAAGGGCCGGTCTCCTTTCCCTAAGAAGAACCACAATATTGATATGGACTTGCATGATCGTCTTGTCAAGATGAAGCTTATCCTGCCTGATGCTTTCGTTGAGCATCAAGCCACCACCATGTTCTGTGATGCCTTCGGTATCAATGAAGAGCATTATATGCATGGATACCATCGATTCCTTGATGAGTTGAACCTTTGCAGCGAGGACATGGAAGAAGAATTTGGAAGTGATGAAGATCCCAATCCCATCACTGCCACTCTTGCTCGCATCACCGATATTCCTTCCTCCCCGGAGGAAGAAAGTGTGTCCAAGATTCCCTTCCGTCGGGTTTCCCTGTTCGGTTTGCCCATGGGTATGTCTGATGATTGTCGGGTGCAAGATGTACCAGTGGACAAACCGGTGAGTGAACCAGTTGATGATCCAGTCGATGATCCAGTCGAAGACTCGAAGGACTCGGTGCTTGAAGAGTCTGAAGGAACCTCTGGGACTTCGTCTCCTTCGTCTTCGTCCGGCGGCACTTCTTCCCCTGGCAGTGCCACTTCGGACACCAGTCCAGATCAAGAGAGCAATGGCGAGGAGGAAGATAGCGAAGCAAGCAACTGTGAGGATGGAGAGGATGTTCTGATTGTCCACGAGATTGACGAGGCTAATGACGAGGATGTCGAAGACGAACCTTTGGTTCCCAATGGACAATCCACCGACGATGATGCTGATGATGGCGAGTTGGAGGACCATGATGGTGAGAGCCCAAAGAAGAAACAGAAGACTGATATTGACAGTGCAGCCGACCACAGTGAAGCAGCAGATGACGATACTATTAATGGAGATGAGGAAGAAGGCAACGAAGAGGACAACGATGGCGAGGGTGACACGGAGTCTCTGGGTCGACTTACAAGGTCTGATACCGACTCTGATGATGATAATGATGGTGGTGGCAATGGCGCTGGTGCAGTGGTGGGATCTTATGGTGGTGTCCTCCTCTCGACTGGAAGCTGGTCTTATTAAGCATTGCCGAAACATTTGTTTCTATTTGCAAGCATTCATTTGGTTCATTGCCACCATGGCAGTTGGTGTGCCAGTGACGGGTGCGCATGTTTGCTGTGGTGGGATCTCTTGTGTGTCTTGGGTATGGCTTGAAACACGAATTGGGATGAGTATGGTTTACCACTGTCGGTGTTACGTATAGATAAGACTTGAATAACGCGCCCAAATTCAAAAACGCATAGGCTTGCTTATACATATATACCTGTATGCATATAAATCTGTAGATAGCCACGGATGTAAGACCAATAGTAAGATAATACCATGCAGTCAAGGGTGTCTTCTGTGACTCGAACGAGAGCGAATTCGTCTCTTCCTACAACCTGCAACAGAACGGGACAGTTACAGTACGTGCAGTACCTACTGTCTCTGTTCAACTAAGCCCTACTCTGAGTAATTGTCCCTTACGGTACCGGTAGACAAATAAATGAAATAACTTGATACTTAAAGGTCTTTGTTAATGGAATGAATGACCTCGTGGCGTAAGGAATCAAGAACCCATTGGAGCTGTCGAGAGTTGAAACGAAATCGAAAAGATCTTTGGCGAACAGGTGACGAAGCACCAATCAAATCTATTTTGTTCATCATTCAAGATACTGGTAATTGTCTACATCCCTGAAAGCAACTGTTAAACAGCTTTCTCTAAAACAGTGGATTTTCTCAACGAGTTAGTGGTACCAGTACTGTACTGGTACAGGAAACCCGGGAGGAGCGAGGGCTTGGCAACCAACTTGGCAATCCTCCAAGCTCTGCCTACTGCCTACCAGGTACCGTAGCTGCACAAACGGCAACTGTCCTGGTTATCACCTGGAGCCAATGGAGATACTCATTAGCGGCAATGGTGTTCAGGCAGGTTTGCAACGCTGTCATCACGTCGTCACTACGCAATACATGTACCACGTAGCCACTCTTGATTGCAGCCTACAGCCTACTACTAAGTAGCTTCCTAGCTAGTTGCCAATCTCAAGCTGCTGGATGCAGCTCGTTCAGCTATCGAGGTCTGTAGCCGGCCCCATAAAAAAATTCTTTCATTGCAATTGCAAGGCGTACAAGGAAGGTTGCAAGGTCAAAACTTGCCGTTAGTTGGCTTTAATACTCCCGATCGCCCTCTTGTTTAGTGTTGTTGGCTCCTTCTTTTCCTTCCACAACGTGAAGTCGAGTCCAACCATGTCTCAAATATTCCCTTGCCTTTCCCCCTTCTTCCCAGTTGTCGGCTTGAAGCGTGTAATGTAGCAGCTAATGCAGCTGCGCACTGCGCATCCACCTCCTGCAAGCTGCATGCTCCGAAAAACGGGATTGAGCATGGAGACAACCTTCTCGGATGCTTTCTCTGCAGCATTATTTGGTGCGATGGCTTTTTCGATCGACTTGACGGCAACTCGTCAACTCACAGCACGTTCTTTTTTCAAAACAATGGGCGAACTGCACGGGTCGATGGGTATGCGGCGGTTTACAATTCAGAGCAGCTGCGGTAGCGCGGTAGTTTTCGTCATCCTACAGCCACCACATCTCAACACTCTTATATCCTTTGCAACTGCATCTTAGATCTTAGGCACCTTCAGCGGCTTAGAAGGCAGAATGTTACAGTTATTAGTCCAACACATATCTTCCTGTTCCCTGTTGAAAGGCCAGGAGTGCAGGAAAAACGGGATTGTGGTGGTACCATGGTGAGCGATGCTTCAAACTAGTTGGATGCACGGTTGCGGTTTGGCACTACTAATACCTGTACTCAAGTACGTGTAGACTATCATTATTTATTCGCTTGTAATGAACTCTTTTAGGCACAATCTTCCTTTGCAAAGAATCCGCTAGCCTGGCCTAATCCTCACCACCAGACTACTGTACCAATTATTGCCAAAAGCAAAAAGAATACCGGTACAGTCCTACTTTGATGTTGCCAGGCTGCTCGTTTGAAGCTTCAAGAGGCCAGATCACACAACCAACCACAGCTTCTGCACTCTGCACCTACATGCCCGCATGCACTACGTGTAGAATCCTTTAGAAATCAGGAAGCAACACCTCCACATTTATTTTGGCAAGTGAAGCCTGGAGCTACGGAGCTTCATACATACATGTTGTACAAGTAGCTACATGGACGGTACCCGTAACCTGCACATGCGATGGTGCCCCTGAGAGTTGTGGGAAGGGGAAGCCACCCAGGTCGTCTCTAAATCTAATCGTGGATCATAAACTCTGCGGAAGGTGCAATAATTCTTGTGTGCGCAAGGGGGAAGCAACCCGAGACTCGACTCGACTCGACTCAGGTCTCCGGTTCTGCGGTTCTGGACTTGCCAGTCTCAGAGGCTCAGATCTCTAGATCTTGAAATCTGGTTCCTTTATTGCTGTGGCTCCTGCCTAGTCCAGTTGCCATATTCGTGTATCTAGCTCCAGCAAGCAGGTACCATGGTACAATGTGCAAGTGAGTGGCTATTTGTCCTCTACCCAGTCCGTTGTCGCAAAAAGCGCGATGTGGATCTGTGAGTCAAAAATCGCTCCGGAACTTCGCAACTTTTTGGCCAGACCACCACAGGTAGGTTCCAGTTCAAAGTCGACATCGGCGATAAAGGCCGCCGTGGCCACACAGAGTGAAAATCTCCGGAAAAGTCGCCATGGTCATCTTGGCCACAGTATGTGGTACCTACAGGTAGCAGAGAGCCATGAGTGCCCTCGCCTACCGACGCATAGAAAAGTCCAGGGGCTAGCGGTAAGCTGCAACCATGGCCTGCCATACCATCAGGTTGGTTCTGGGGTGGCTTTGAGGAATCGAATCCACGGTGTGAGTTCCACGCCACGGTTAAAGGAACCCACCAACTTCCCTGAGCTGAAAAACTACTGGTAGTACTGTAGAGCTAGCCAGTACGACTGTGGGCTTGAGAGCTCCTGAAAGTAGTCTCACTATTATGAAACACGGACTATATATCCTTACTTCTATATCAAGGGTACAAATCTGCATCACGTCAACCAGAACGAGTAACAAGCCACCCCCAGCTAGATGCCTTCCACAGTAATGGTGTTGTAGCAGCACCAACAGGCTGCTGGCTGAAGCCCCCGATCGCGGTTCCAAGCGATGGACCAACAGTCACCTCGGTGATGAGTCCGCATTCCACGCCATCGTCTTCAAACCAACCAATGCTAACGTCAAGTGATCCTGCTGTGATAAGCCACCCTGAGACGGACTTGTCACCGAAAAGATCTGAAAGAGAATTTCCACCCCAACATCGGCGCCAACGGAAATGCCACCACAGTTCCGGACTCGGTAGTCACCAAACAAGGAAACGTCTTCCTCTCGCAAGATCTCCATGTACTTTGCTCCACCCTCCAAACCACCATCAAAAAGGGAGTAAACAGTGGATACCTTCACGCTTTTCGATAGTGTTCAAATTAAAAAAAGAAAGTGGGATGCGATCTAACTATGATAAACGATATTCCTGAGTAGTCTAGTGTGTATTTACTACTTGTAGCATGAAATCCAGAACATGAAGCCAACGGTAGCATCTTGCCTTGCCTGCCTGGGCCAAACACGCGCCGTACCGTCATTTCCAGGCTTGGCCTTGGCACCCAGTGTCACTTTCACCTCGACAAGATCTTTAGTTAATAAAGAATCCGTTCAGGTTGTTGCCGATAGGTACAATCCTGTCGACGCCCACGCCACCACGAACGAATTGATGGGCACGAGCATCATTTCATTATCATTGGCATTGACGAGCCGAATAGGTCCTGCCGCAATAGAGAATCCATATGTGCACACCAAGTTGATGGCCAACATGTAAATGGCCAAAGTGTTGTTGTTTGGCAATTCCGCCATGGCCAAGAGCGTGACCAGAGTCATTCCAAGCCAACTCAAGCCGTACAATTCACACAGTCTTCTCGCTTGAGGAATGGACGTCGTACCATAGACGGGTGCTCGTTCGGCTACCAATGCCACGGCAAACATGGCTTGCCAACCGGCCAGGACATACCATGCCAAGGAAGCCATAATGTTCTGCAGCACAAACCCCACAGGAATTCCCGCGATGGTGGGTACAATCACACCCGTGAGCCACGAAGGCTTTTTGGTTACCGGTTTGCGTTCTACCATGCTCCACTCGTATCTATTGTCGTGTTGGACGGACTGCTGTATGGTACCGGTTACAATCCTGTTGTGTGATATTTTATTAAGGCATCAGCTTGGTGGACTGGTCTCTTCGATCGAGCCAAGGCTGTGCATCACTCATCCATGGAAGACAGCTTTTGTAAAGAAAGTAAAGGTAAACATAGGATCTAACTTGTTACGTTTTTGCCTCATCTACCTGAATTCCAAAGCTGTCTTCTTGCCCGGACTGATGTCACTGGCGTCAACCATCTAACTTTTCAACTTCCTCGCTTAGGCTTCTCATCGATCGTACCACATTCATTTCAAGTTGGGGAAGATTCAGGAGTTGTGCCCTTCACTTTCGACAATTGAATACAAGAAAGCACAATTGAATACAAGATAGCTAGCTAGTTTTGCTACAAGCCACTTTATGCAAGGACCAAGATGAACAACCTCGAAGCTGATATCAAGAGAATCCAAGCTTTGGTTCAGCAGAAGTCTCCATTGGATGCTGGCACTTTGCCACAATTGTTCCAACAGACCTACGGGATGCCCCTAAAGCACAAGAATCATGGAGTTTCCAAGCTCAAGGACTTGCTTGTAAAAATTCCAAAGATCGAAATGCGCTTCCAGAAAAGGGGCGCGCCTTTAGTTCTAATTTGGCGGAGGGGAAGCACATCCATGGAGTTTTCTAGCCCTCCTCACAACCCGCCAAACGAAGCAGTGGAAAGGCCAGCAGTGTCCATGGTCAACAGCAGTGATGACCATGCTCTTTCCAAGTATCCATGGCTACAAGATGCCGTTGATCTCTGGGTTTCCAGAGCTTTGAAAGCTTGTAAGCAGGTAAACGCCGGTTTTGATGGCCATCCTTTACCCGTGGAGAATTTGGAGATTCGGTTGGGCAAAGAAGCGGAGAAAAGCAAAAAGCTCCGTCCTAATGGTGTTCCAGAAGAAAGAGTATATGTCAAGCAAACTCTGAAGTTGCTCAGAAAAGATCCAAGACTTCGTTGTGAGAAGAGTTTGAAGGGCTATCTTTACTGGCCAGCGAATCCGAGTGAGATACGGGACACCTCTCAGCCTGGCGATAGTGACGAGCAGCAGGCAACGCTTAGCCAAACTGTACCCTCTCAGGATCAGCCCTGGTTGCGCGCTCATTTGGATTACTGGCTGCAAAGACTCCGAGGTCAGTTCGCTGCTTTGAACGACAATGATCCTGACTTTGGCGTTCCAGTGAGGGATTTCCAGCATGTCGTCCGCGACCAGGCTCCCCAGAAGATTGCTGAGATTGAATTAGATGATCCACCAACCCCTGAACTATACACAGGGGAGTTGATATACGCTCTCAAAGCACACCCCCACATTTCGAGTGTACTGGTACATGAGACAGGGGAGTGGTTGTGGTTCTGGACACCGCCATGGGTGCAGGGCGCCAAAGAGCGCGAGGTTGTCAATTCTGGCGTCTCTAGCAGCGTGGACGATGCAGAGGAGTGGACTGAAGAGGAAGAGGCTGAAGTCAATTCTCGTGTCTCCAGCAGCGTGAGTGATGCCTATGAGCAGGAAGAGGAAGTGTTCGATCCGCCCGGGCGTCAGGAAAACCAGCTCCTGCGAGGACAACCAGTGCCCCAAGCAGAAGGGTCAATACCCCAACCATCGTCTGATGAAGCAGAACGGGGTGCTCATTATTGCCAACCCACAGAAGAGACGAAGCATCTGCTCCACAATCAAACGCCACATCAGCCAAATCTTCAGGAGGTTGTCGGCTTGGCGGCAATGTCCAAGATACCTTGGACCAACGCCGCAACATCAGAGATTCCTTGGACCAACGCCGCAACATCAGAGATACATTGGACCAACGCCGCAACATCAGCTCTCCTAAGAAGGCCGCCGCCGAATGTACAGCCGCTCGACAAGATCAGGGCTTATTTTACAACTGACAGTCATGGTGGTGGACAATTTGATACTCGAGGGATGTGCATAGGAGACGAAGAAACGGCAGAATCTTTCTATGAAGCGGCATTGCTTGGCCGACTTCGCACAAGCGAAGATAGTCGATCGGTCACCAGCCAGCCTCCAGTTTATATCAACACCCATGAGCCATTCTGTCTCGCAACTGTCGGGGTACAGGGAGCAGGGAAAAGCCACACGCTTGCCTGTATAATAGAGAGTTGTTTGCTATCCTTCGAAATGGAGAAAGTGTCCAGATTGAAGAACCCCATGACCACATTGGTATTGCATTACGATCAAAACACAACATCAATATGCGAAGCAGCAGGGTTGCTCTCACCCGCTCCTGTGTTGAAAGAGAATCTTGCTGAGCTCTCAAGACTATGCTGCGTCCCATCGGCAAAGGCAACTATTCTTGTTTCGCCCACATACTACAAGCAACGGAAGGCGTTCTATGGCGACCACTGCACAGTGCGCCCACTCTTGTTCCGGTGGCACACCCTCACTGCGGACCACATCAAAAGGATCATGAGAATCGGAGCAGCCGACAACCAACTTTATGTGGCATCCTTAATGACTTTGCTTCGCAAATATCAGAGGGCGCACGTCGTTCCCGATTTTGTGGACTTTATTGAGGAAGTCAAGACAGTTTGTAATGTTCAAGGACAGCAGGGCCCTCTCAGTCAACGGCTTGCTCTGCTAGAGTCTGTCATTGCTGAGTCTGAAGTGAACAGTGACATTGCCGCGGAGAGCATGGATGTTTCCCAAGCTTGCGAAGATGGCCTCCTCTTAATCATTGCTGATCTCACGGACCCGTTGCTCTCTAAGGAAGAAGCCAATGGTCTCTTCCAGGTAATCACAGAGCAATTTCGTTCCATTCCAATCAAGGCAGGCAAGCTGCTGGCTCTGGATGAAGCCCATAAGTTCATGGTTGGTGATGACTCTGATGGTTTGAGTGAGGCTATTGTAAATGTTGCTCGTCTCATGCGACATGATGGCGTGCGCTTGGCGGTGAGTACCCAGAGTCCAAAGGCCCTTGCTCCAGAGCTTTTGGAGCTGGTAAGCATTGCGGTTCTTCATAGATTCCACAGCCAGGATTGGTGGACCTACTTGAGGAGAAAGATGCCCTTGCCAGAGAGCGCATTTGAAGACGTCTTGTCCCTCAGGGCAGGGAATGCCCTGGTGTTTGCCTCGAGGCCTTCCTTTTCAAGTACAGCTTTGGATGGGTCAATTTCCAGGTTGCTCCCAGTTCGAATCCGCCCCCGCCTCACTGCAGATTTTGGCTCTAGTCGCACCAACAACTAACGTTCTTTGGGTGAGAACTAACTTTCCCTTTCTCAATTGAGGACACACAAGTAATTGGAACTGCTTGCAATGCAGCCCGTTCCCTCCACAATATGGAAATCAGTACCCTTGAAGATCCCAAGCCTATGACTGCACGGGCCCTTGCACCCTTGAAGAACCAGGATTCTGGTTTGGTCGCCAACGAGGATTTTGACTCTTGAGGTGTCTCCTTTCAACACAGTTAGTTGTGGCCCTTGCACAATGACATGATGGCGGCCCCACAAGATATGAACCCATTTTAGGAAGACTACAACTCAGGGGCATTCCAAGATAGAAACATAGAAACGAAGTAGAAGAAACTGTGCGAAAGCAGAAGATAGTTCAATGACTGTATATCAAAGTTTCTTGCTGGATGCCATACAACAGGACTACCTGACTTGCTGTAGGTTTCATACATGGCCTTTACCACACAATTCCATTCAGTGGCATGCAGACACAACCCGAGGAGGGACACGAAACTAGCTCCCAATCCAATTGAAAATCCAAGTGAAAAGCCTTCAAAGTGTTGCTGGATACTACAGTACTCTATTGATCCATTTGGCTGGCTGAACGGTTGTGATGGATCTACTGATAGTACCAGACTGTCTGCATCAAAGGCATACTATACTACCCGGGAATCCATGCACCTGTCCCATTTGGTGCAAATACGAGTACTCTGATGAGCACCAAATCCAAGCAAACTGAAAATGACAAAGGAAATAATGAGAGCGAGTTTTTTGAGGTAGTTATGACCCTAAAGTCATTCTGATTGCCAAGGGGTCCCCTTTTTGGCTAACCAGCACAGTGTATTATACAATATACCTTCATAGGTCAAAACTGAGACATGCGAAATTTGACCCCGAGTCAAAATGACCCTCTTTGACTGTAGCATAACGATTCTCGCGGCATGCGCGCGAACCTCCTTGACTGGTCGACAAGGAGCCCAAGTCAAAAAATTACAGACTTAAGGGTAGCTAGTAAAGACATAGATATCGGTACTGAAAGCACCCATCAGTTGGCGCCCTCATTAGGCCTAGCCGTATGTTCTGCGGAACTCTAGCTAGCTACTAGCTACTATCGTGGTGGCAATATCGTGGAGCAATCAATGAGCAATGCCACAACAGCATTGCCACTATCAAGATGGCGAAATCAACTGTCAGCGCAATAGCTAATGGCTTACCCTCTCCCCCAAGAGCATCAGTAAGGGTGGTGGAGCACAGGATTGGTGAAGATGGGCAGCGCGAGGCTGTGGTTACTGTCCAGGAGGAGTGCCAATTGAACAACAATTTGCAGCATGTTTTGTTGGAAATTGCTGAGGGCGACAGGCCAACCAACACAGGCGCTGCTCTGGATCCAAAGGTCTATGAATACTACCAGTACTGTGACCATTCCTATCCTAATGATCCCAACAGGAGAGTGCTGGACTATGAAAAGGTCTACAGATTTATGTTTTACACTGCTTTCAGGGAGCCAAAGAAACATCCAACCAAAGCTGAGCGAGCAAAGCCAGTGGCACAGAGGAAGCATTTCAACAAAGAGGAGTTTGATGCACTGATGGTGGGCTACAAGGACGCAGCTTCAGCCAGGTTGAATCGTCCTGATCCAAAGGACCCATTGAGTCCTCCATCATTTGAACAGTACAAGCAAATCATCAGGAAAATCTGGAAAGTACAACTAGCAAAAGGTCTAGGCGTTCCTCAAAGCTATGATAGCATCTGGAGGCTTCCTTTGGATGATTTATTCAAGTATGTGAAGCACAGGAAGCCCATCCAAGACAAGAAAAACTACAAAGAGAAAGTTAATGGAGAGTTCTCGCCCTACATGATAGTGGAGCACTACACAGCAATCGAATCCATTCTGTGGCGACACAGCCACAACGCCACTGGCTACAGATCTATTGCTTGTCAGCTCCGCCATAGATACTGCTTCCTACACTTGACTTGTGGCATCCTGAGATGCGAGAGTCTCCATCGTGCCGAGTTCAGCGATTTCCTTGGGTTGATGGTGCCAAAAGATGATTACAGAGACGTACACAACACCTTCATTATGGTGAACCAGATTGCCGTGGGCAAAACAGCAACTTATGGGAGACGACAGTATGGGAGAGCCACCAGACATAAGGATGTCACTGTGTGCCCAATTGCCGCTTTTGCTTTCTATGTACAGTATCGGCTTCACTGTACTGGTGAGTTCTCTGATTTTACAACAGAGGACTGGGAGAAGAATGACAAGTGGTTCGACATTAAGGTGCTCGCGGACGTCAAGGTTGGTGTTGACAGAAGCAAGGAAATGGAAAAGGATACGTATGGGAACCACATGCGGGGGATCTTACAGGAGCTTGGCCTCGACTGTTCCAAGATCCTTCATCTTGGCCGGAAACTGGGAGCTCTAACTCTTGAGCTGCTCATGGAAGAGCGAAGTCAAATTCAACAATTAGGTGGTTGGTCTGAGGGCTGTTATGACAAGCACTACAGTGGAAAGATGCCACTCTCTCCAGTTCGGCGAATGGCTGGGTATGGAGGAAAGAATGGGTGTTACTTCTGCCCCCGTTCAGCTGTGTTACCACCCAAAGAGCTCCTAGAACTGACTCCTATTGGCAAGTGGGTGTACAAGACGTTTGATGCTGTTACCGATCCTGCAAGACCTGGAAAGAACAGCACTGCGATTTCTTTTCTCAAGTTCCTAATCGATCTGAATTCATTGTTTCTACAAGACGCTGCAGCAATGCAACTGAAGCATGCTAATCGAGAGGAGCACCCCCTATTTACAGAGCTGAACTACGTGTTTAAAACAGAGCACTTTGCCAGCTTCAAAGAGAAGATGCGTGTGGCATTGGACACTGCCAAGAATCCAAAGGAAGCAACTATAGAGAAGATTGTACCAACTCTCACTTCCTGGCAAACGGCTAACAACCAGGCTTTAAGTGCGCTGGATACGAAAGTTGACAGTGTATCAAGGGTTGTGGCCAATGGAATTACCAAGTTGGGTGAATACATAGAGACAGCAGAACACCGGCAACTGAAACGCGACAAACAACTAGGAGCACTGCTTGTAAAGATCGGAAAGTCCATCGGTGCTACTGAAGAAGAGAACACGGAAGAACAACAACCGAATGGTCTAGAGCTACTGGCTCATATGATGGAATTAGAGGAATCGCCATTGGAGTTAGAGGATACACCTATGCAGGATCCGGCTGGTGCAACACTAGAAACAACTGGCGAGCTTCCAATGCTCAGTCTTCAAGTTGGTGATAGGGGCACCAGTTCTCCTCCGGCTGTCACCCCTCCAACAACACCAACAGGTGTACCAAACGACCAGTTCAGGCTAAAGCCTCAACTCAACAACTTGTCGGAATTGATGGATGAGTGGACTGGTCGATTGGATGGCAACTCTCCTGATCCATTGGGAGGAGTCGATGGGAGGAACAAGGCGTTTGGCAAAACATGGAGGAAGCATATCGCGGCAAAGATTTATTCCAGGAGGAAGCAAGCTGTTGAAGGGATCCGTGCCTATGCAACAAGAGAGAACGTGGACGACTACGACGCATGCACCATCCTGGACTACAACTACAAAGGAGAATGCAAGAGCTCCATTGCTAACTTTGTTGACTATTTGAAGAGAGAGGGGCTGCTACAGAAGATGGCCTCACGTGGAAGAACTAAGAAAGCGAAAGCGAGCTAATTTATGTTTGGTATTTTGTTGGGCTTCCACCCTCCATGTTCTGTCACCTTTTGTGCTGTCATTGGCTGAGACTCAGAGATGCGAGCCCCTTCCATTCTAGCTTTATTTAAACTACTAGTAGGAGCACTGTTGCTTTCAACCAAAGCTTTCAACTGTAGGGTCTGTTTCTCCATTGTCGATCGTTTGTGTTGGTTGACGACTTGCTGTTGACGACTGTTGCCGTTGGTTGACGACTTGCTGTTGACGACTTGCTGTTGACGACTGTTGCCGTAAAAGGGGTGCGCGACATTGAAGTTGCAAGTTGCAAAAGTGAGAAGTCAGTACCGGTTCGCAGTACCGGTTCGCATCGTGAGTACCGGTTGCCACAGAGGTGCGAACTTCCCAAGAAAGGTGCGGCACATCGGTGAGGTGACTCCAGTTTGAATCCTGCTGTGCAGTATCTCGATTGGCCTCTCCAGATTCTGAGGGTACTGAAATCGACACTGTAAAATCAGAATCTGGCCAAGTCAAACGAGATACTCTGAGTCAAAATCCAACTTTGACTCACTCCATGGCACTACGTGCTTTTGCCTTGACTGATCGATCCTACGAAGGACAGACTACTATTTTACCAACTAAATACTGGAACCGGTGGGTGGGGGGAAGAGCTGAAGGCCTCTCCTCCGACTTTGAGTCATTGATGATGTACCCTGAGTAGTTGATGACGCTGAAGTCATTCTGGTGAAGGACAGCCCAACGACTCGTCGCAGCTCGGAGCCATTGGTTATCGTTGCAAGGGAACAGCTACTAGCTAGCTAGTACGAGCAGAGAGATAAACAGCACAGAATTGAACAGACACCAAGCAAGCAAGCAAGCAATTAAGCAAAGCAATCCCCAACAATACGTATTGTAGGGCTCATTATTTAAAAAGGAAGAAAGGAAGGAAAGAAAGATCTTAACTACTAGTAAGCTAAGATGCCTCATGCTCGAATCCCCCGACAGGTCAAGCCCCGAACAAGTCAGAGTCCAGATGATACTAATAATGGGGGCGAAGGACGAAAGAGCCGACTGTGTTCTGGCAAGAAGAGAATGGCTCTGATGGCTTGCTTACTGTTGGGTCTGTTGTCCCTGGGTGGAACTGCTCGTAACTTGAGAGAAACTACCGGTCTGGATCTAGTAGCCTCCATGTGGCGTTGGAGCAGGTACAGGAGTGTTGTCAGTCAGCCGTCCCATTATCATTTGCTGGGCAACCAAGCTGGAGAAGAGGGAAACTTTTACGTGTCTCCAGATGCCGCTGCCGATAGTAGTTTACAAGAAGACTCTCCACTGCTTCCCATGGCGTACAACATGGAAGCCATGAAGAATCATTCGTCTGTCGATCAATCCTTTTGTGTCCCTTGGAGGACTGCACAGACGACAACCTCCACAAGTGCCAGTCCAGCCGGAACTACTGAAGCCGATGACTGGTGGACCCATCATCCGCAATGGCAGGTCTTTTACGAAGACGACCAGGTCTATTGCTTTCAACTCATTCCCAATCCAGCCAAACGAGATTATCTCCAAAAGTTATACCAACTCCAATTTCCATCCTCCAACGATTGTAGTAATGTTCAAGTCAAACCCATGATTCAGGGAGGTTGGGGAATGGACATGCTCGGCATTGTCCATTTGCTATGGAAAGCCATTGACTTGCACCAACCCCATGCCATTGCACCCCGACCGTGGCACTATGCCAGTCCCAAACCATTCAATATACAAACGGCAGCGTGTCCTTCGCAAGACATGTTTTGCTACTTTTTGCCACTTACCAGTTGCAATTCCCCTGAAAACAACAATAATACGGTCGATGAAAAATGGTTCCCACGAGACGATCAAACACGTTATTGGAACGAAAAGGGACATTGGTTGTACCAGTATGGATCACGACCCCAAGAGTGGTTGCGATATCGCGTCTATCGATTTGTCCAACACCAGTTGCACTCGTCGTGGCCTGCAGCGGCACGACTTGCCAGCAATACTAATAGTGATTTCACCTGCACGGCATTACACGTTCGACGGGCCGATGTCATTTTGCACAAACGATGGAGTCGCGCCTATCATTCCATTGCCGAATACATGAATGTCAGCGATCAAATACACGACAACATCTTTCTGCTCACGGACGACTCCAACGCGGTCGGAGAAGCCGTGCACGAATTCCCACACCACAATTGGATCTACGTCGATCGCAAACGCTACAAGGGAGCCGAAGGAGGATGGGAGCAACAATTGCCCAGTCAAGATCCCGCCTTTGAAGTCACGGTTATTTTGGGAGTGGGACGACTCGTGCAAAAGTGCGACGGCATTGTCAAGTCGTTTTCACGCTTTGGGGCATATCTCTATGGAGAATTGCACGCGGCAAACCAATCGGCGTGGTACAAAGACGTCGATGCACAAAGTGGCAGTCAGTTGTTGAATCCGCACAATACGGCCACGGTCAGTGTCTCCAAAGAATATACTACTGGCTAGCTGCTACCAGGTAGCTAGCTAGTACACGACAGCAATGAGCAATCCGAAGTAATGGATGGACCTCTGACTCTGCCAAGTCATAACAATACGCAGAAAAATTGATGAGCTGAGAGAGGGACAAATGCAAACATTCCCATGCCACTCGTTACGTTTTCGATGGATCGGTGCTGCGACCAGTGTCCAACGACTTTCAATCAATCAATCAATGACATTGTGATCTACCTCTCCTCTTGAGTACAAATGGAATGTGTAGTTTCCTGGGTATGATCCATCGCACTCATTCAGCCAACCAAATGGATCAATGGAGGATCAAGTTTAGTGACAATTTGATGGCTTTTTGAAGGATTTTCAATTGGATTGGGAGCTGCTTCCGTGTCCCTCCTCTGGTTATCACCACCACTGAATGGAATTGTGTTGTTTTAAAAGGCCAAGTGTGAAACCAACAAGTCAGGCAGTCCTAAGGTAGGTAATGGGGGTGTTTTTATGAGCCAGAAGCCCCTGTCGGTAGTTACCGGTACCAGATACCAGTTCAGGGAAGAGCTCGAACGCTCGAACTGGTGAACCTGAGTTCATCAGACTATGAAAAGAACCACGATAGGACATGTGAGAGACACCAATAGAAGGACTGAGATCTAAATCTAAAATCGTACGGTACTCAGTACTATCGATGCAAGTCTCACAATTAATGGCGGCATAAAAAAATGAGGGCGGGAGTGCGCGATCCTGTAAGAGAACGGTGACAGAGAGAACCCCGCAATCCACACACGCGAGCAACAGCAAGGAAGGACCAACAGACCGCACATTTCCAAACAATAGAAGATAGAAGACCACAACAACAACAACCATACAACGTTAGCACGGCCTCCAACACCTGCCTCCAGCTGGCTCGTAAGCTCCTGTGATTGAACTACTAGCTAGTAGCTAGTAAGCTACCTTTACCAAACCACGCTTGTAATAGCCGAGACGGTACCGGGATAAGACAGACAACATACTAGTACAGCAATATCTACCATGGCGAGGGGAATGGATCCTCCCGAGGATCCTCCAGATCGCGACGAGTACGTGCCCAGTAGCGCTGGAGAGGAAGAAGAGGAAGATGAGGTAGATGTGGATGACATGGTTTTCGAGGAAGATCAGCGGAACCAGCCACCATCTCCAAAAGAAGAAGAGCAAAAGGAAGAGCTGGATGCTGCTGCTCCTGCCGGCGTTACTCGTGCCAGTGCCAGTGCCAGTTCGAGTGGTAATCGAAGTAGCGAAGGCAGCAGACAGCCGGGTTGGCTGCCAGACGATATGCAGTATTTGAAAGGTGAGGCATAAGGCGTTGCGCAAGGTACCTCTTGCAGTATACCGGTAGCTCAGTCCGGCCTGAGCTTCTAATATTTGTTCTGGGTACTGGTAACTGATGCTTTCGTTGCTTCTCTTCTATTTTATAAAATTCGTCTACTACGGCAGGTGCTGCAGTGGGCCCTACGGATTCCATGATTGGTGGTCCAGGCGCCGTGACGGTAAACCACCCCGTATCCAGGCCACCCTCTTCCAATCAACCACCTGCCAATTTTACGGCGTCGCAGCCCCAGTCACCCTCGCCGGTACCGGAATCACAGCAGCAAAGGTCTTATGTCTCTACCAGCCAGCAATCGCATACCAGCAGTCGGCCCGCTCCACCCATCGAAGAGGGAACCATCCAGTACAGCATGGGAACGTCCGGTACACAAACAACCAATGTCACCAGCACGGCGACCGCCTACTCGGGATTGAATACCAGCACGGAACAGCAATCATCACCCACCAACAACGAAACACCCATTTTGGCCAATGCCGAATTGGTGCAAACGGTAGCCCAGACAGAAGACGAAAACAAACCAATCATGGCTCCCGTCGCCGTAGTGGTCAATCCGCAAGGGGACTGCCTGCCCGATACCAGTACCCCCGAAGGCCGAAAACTCTGTTTTGGAATTGTCTTTCTCGTCGTATTGGCATTGGGAGTGGTTGCCATCGTGGCCATTGTTTGTGCCGGTGGAGGATGTGCCGCGGGAGGCACCACCACCAGTAGTACCGAGGCTGATTCGGTCAAAGGTGGTCTAGTCTTTCCTACCGTGGCGCCAACACCCTCTTTTCTCGACCCGTCTGCGGTACCCACTGCGACGCCCAGTACCAATCCTTCGGCGGTCCCCAGTACGAAGCCATCCAGTCCACCGAGCTCGGCACCCAGTGTGGCTCCTTCCATGGCACCCAGTGCGGCACCCAGCTTCCGTCCATCGTCCACTCCCACAAAGGAGCCAACTCCAGACCCCACAATCAGACCCACCAGAAGACCCACACCCGGCCCGACCAGGAGACCCACACCCGGACCAACACGTGATCCAACACCCAATCCAACACGTGATCCAACGCCCAATCCAACACCAAGGCCAACACCAAGGCCAACTTTGGGTGGAATCGGTCCGGCTCCCACATCGGGTGGAATCGGCCCTGCGCCGACACGTGATCCAACGCCCAATCCAACACCAAGGCCAACACCAAGGCCAACTTTGGGCGGAATCGGTCCAGCCCCGACTCCTGCAACAACGGTAACTTTGTTTGGTCAAAACTATGCTGTCAGCAGCACTACATCACTGGTTCGATCCTCGCAAAGCTTGACCGGAACGCTCCCCACCCAACTTGGTTTACTGACTGCTGTGACAACCATGGATTTGGCATCCAACAGTCTCCAAGGCCAAATTCCATCGGAAATTGGGTTGATGACCAGCTTGCAAAGGCTGCTACTGTATTCCAATGACCTTACCGGTGCTTTGCCCACCGAGTTTGGACTATTGACCAGCATGACGCACATTAGTATCAGCAGCAACTCTTTTTCAAGGCCTTTGATCACAGAGATTGGAAGAATGACCGGGTTGGTGTTCTTTACCAATAGTCGAAATGCTATGCCTGGGCCGATTCCCAGCGAGCTTGGCCTCCTGACCAAATTGACAGCATTGTATATGTATTCCAACCAGTTCACAGGGACAATCCCGGCAGAGCTCAGTGCATTGACTGCTTTGTCATTCTTGGAGTTGCAGGACAACCAGCTGACTGGCCCAGTTCCAGCCGGAGTGTGTTCGATTTCCGGCTTGCAGGCATCAGGAAGGCTGGATGTGGATTGTGCAGAAGTGACCTGCTGTAGTGATACCACTGATAGTGTTGATGATCCAGGTCCGCCACCATCCACTGTGACAATGTTCAATCGAACTTGGAGTACCAGCAACACTACACACATGTTTCTCACGAACCAGAATCTCACGGGAACAATACCAAGTGAAATTGGATTGGTAACTTCGTTGGAAGTCTGGCATGCTGGGGAAAATGCGCTGTCGGGAACCCTGCCAACCGAGATTGGTTTCCTAACTGAGCTCCGATCAGTGATCTTGAGTGGTAATCTGTTGACAGGGACATTTCCCAGTGGTAAGCTTTTGATGTGTTCTCTGGTGGAATGGCATTGATTTTTCTGCTTCAGGAGTCAGATGTTCTTGCTTGCTCACAACTCAGTTCTTCTTTGACATCCCCAAAATACATTCGCAGAAATTGGGCTATTGACGGCCTTGTCATTTTTGAGTGTTCGAAACAATCTGCTCACTGGGACATTTCCAGCCTGCAGCTTGGAGTTGGGTGCTTTGGGTTACATCAGTCTTGATTGTGGCGCCGTGGTTTGTTGTGATGGCAATGGCAACGGCAATGAAGTCATTTCGAGTGGTGACTCTGTCACTTTGTTTGGAGCAGTTTATGATGTTTCCACTACTCGCGACTTAGATTTGGGGAATGAGGAAATCACAGGAAGTCTACCGGCAGAAATTGGAGACCTAACAGAGTTGACCCGTTTGGACTTGTACAACAATCAATTCACCGGCACAATCCCCGACCTCTCAGCCTTGCAGGAACTAACCTATCTAGGCTTGGGAGGAAACATGCTCACTGGCATGATTCCCTCAACAATTGGAACACTGACAAAGCTGACTGGACTCTTCCTGCATTTGATGATGCTGACTGGCTCCATTCCTGAGGAGCTTGGTGACTTGACAAGTCTGTCTCGTTTGTGGCTCTATGACACAGAACTAACCGGCAGCCTCCCCAGCAGTCTTTGCCCAGGCTTGACAGACGTGAGAGTGGACTGTGGTGAGGTCTCCTGCACTTGCTCCAGTTGTGGTTGCTCAACAACAGGAGCATCGAGTGGTGAATCTGTCACTTTGTTTGGGACAGTTTATGGTGTTTCCACTACTCGCGACTTAGATTTGGGGAATGAGGAAATCACAGGAACTCTACCGGCAGAAATTGGAGACCTAACGGCGTTGACACGTTTGGACTTGTACAACAATCAATTCACCGGCACAATCCCAGACCTCTCAGCCTTGCAGGAACTAACCTATCTAGGCTTGGGAGGAAACATGCTCACTGGCATGATTCCCTCAACAATTGGAACACTGACAAAGCTGACTGGACTCTTCCTGCATTTGATGATGCTGACTGGCTCCATTCCAGAGGAGCTTGGTGACTTGACAAGTCTGTCTCGTTTGTGGCTCTATGACACAGAACTAACCGGCAGCCTCCCCAGCAGTCTTTGCCCAGGCTTGACAGACTTGAGAGTGGACTGTGGTGAGGTCTCCTGCACTTGCTCCAGTTGTGGTTGCTCAACAACAGGAACATTGAGTGGTCAATCTGTCACTTTGTTTGGGACAGAGTATGACGTCTCGGCCACTAGCCGCTTGAGTCTGAACAATCAGGAAATCACAGGAACGTTGCCAGCAGAAATTGGGGAGTTGACTGCTCTGACTTTGTTGGCCCTGTATACCAATGACTTTGTTGGTACGATTCCTTCTGAGGTTGGTTTATTGACCAGATTGTCTCACTTCAACGTGGAAGAGAATGATTTCTCTGGGAGCATACCATCCGAGTTTGGATTATTGACTGAATTGACATATTTGGGCTTTAACGGAAACCAACTCTCAGGAAGCATTCCTGGGGAGGTTAGTTCACTGACAAATTTGAGAAGCTTTTTCTTGGATGACAATGAATTCTCTGGAAGTGTTCCCAGCGCGCTCTGTGCCAACCCATCATTGTCAGTGATCCGAGTGGATTGCGTAGACCCCTTTGCTGTTGCATGTTCCTGCTCTGATTGCTCCTGTGATTGATTTTCAAGATCTGACCACCATGCCAGCTGGCTAGCGATCATATCAACATGTGGAATGCATTAGTGTATTGTTAAGATAAATAAATGTGAGTGATAGCTGTGAATCCCCGTAGATTCATTTCTTGTCACAAGGTCCACCATGTTCTACTATCATGAATTCACGACCTTGCTTGTCATCAGTCTGCAGCACTGCAAGAAGCTTCTGTACATGTAACACCTTCACAATCTAGCTACCGGTAGCTAGTCTACTAGCTTCTCATAAGAGTTTTGCTCGAGCCAATATCTCCAGCGGGTTCTTGGCAAAACCAATGTTCAAGTTCGGTAGCTTTGGTCCTCGTGGGCTTTGGAGGGAAAAGTTGCATGTGGTTGTCCCGAAATGCCCAAAAGAGAGGAAGTGTGCGCTCTGAATTCAACCTCAGTGACCAGTGTGACCCTTACTATGACCCTGGAACGAGAAAAAGCAACACCAACGGTCCAAAGCCGCGACAAGACCACCGCCAAACAAACGCTCAGGCTGACCAGAACCCTCAAATCAACCACCATCCAAGTTCAGTCAGATCGCATTGATGCTTCCCAATTGACCTGTTGCTACCTGAAAATAAAGACGAAACGATGGAGTTGCTAGGACGTATCCGGGACAATGTCCGCTTTTACTACCTGCAATACCTGATTGTGACAGGAATCTGCTTTGCCCTCATGCTCTTCTTTTCTCCCGGTGCTTGGGTGGAACTTCTCATTATCGGAGCCGTATGGGTTGTGTTGCTGTTTGCTACCAGAGATCAAGGAGAGCGTGTCAAGACTGTTGGTACGTTTTGGACTGTACTCTACTGAAATGGCTGATCCTGAAACTGGCTTATCCGATAGAACGATAGATACTCACCATCTGTTTCTTCGTTGTTGCTGTTTGGTGCTCCAGTCCTTGGTGCCATGGGAATTGGTAGTGCCGTAGCGCTGTTCTTCGTTCTGGAAGGTGTGTTTTGGTGGGGTATCGGTGCGAGCGCCATTCTGGTGCTTGGACACGCTATCTACAATGATCCGTCCAAACTGCGGGAGCAGGAGCAACAAGCTGGGAATGTGGAACTGGAAAACCAAGAGGCCCCAAAGACCAGCGACGTTGTTTAGAAATGAGCTAGCGAGCCAGGGAAAATTAGTCGATCTGGCTAGTAGTCTACGGGGATTTGTATGTTCTTTGTGTATTGTCGTCATTGTGAACAAGAATTGGATGGAACTGCACGAAAAGGCCCTATCTTTCCGCCAGCCGCGGGCATCAAGTGGGTGACAAAGCTTTTGCCAGGGCCTGGTACCTGGAGATCTCTCAATAAAACACACCTTAGAGCCTCATGATCTTGATACGTCGTGGGAGGACCCATCACGTGTGCGCTCCTCAGCAAATTGGTGGTCCCGAAAAGCGTACCACCACGAATAAGTTAAGTTCTAAAAGTAGGCAGCTGTCTCACCATCACAAACTCACACCAACAGAGCATTCGAGGAGTGGGGGGGATCATGGCAGCTGAAAGTTGCTGTAGAACTACCATACAAGCCCCAGAGTCGAGTCCTCGGGAAGTCTGTTTGGCTTTGTTTGTCTTGCACTTCGTTAGTGAGGAAGAAGACCGGACTTAGTTAGAGTTAAGGATAGTCGTCGCTTTGTCAACTTTGCTCGTCCACGACACCGCATTCCAACAATCATACCCAAGCAAGTTCAGTCCATTACATGTTGTTATTGAGAGGAGTCCAGCTAGAGTAGGGTACATGTAGCGTCTTCAGCATCTGATGGATGACTATCAAGAAAGAAGATCAAACCAATGAGCCTGGTGTATTCACGGTGACAATCCCATCGTTTTCTTTCGTCTGAATACAGAATACAGAAGACCCTCATGTGGCTTGATGGTGGGATTGTTTCCAAGCGACCTCCCGTCCAGAAGGAGAGGGCCATGATGACCAATAATAAAACAACTACAAGAAAGCAAACCGTGGAAGCAAGCCATAGCATTGGCCATCCAGTTGTCTCCAACCACCAGGTTGTATTCCACTGCGGATGGGGCGGAAATGGATCTTCCCAACAGTAATGTGTAATGACATGAGCATTTCTTTCTACTGATAATTCATTGTCATTCCCAGTCCACCCTGATGAACCCAACTTGTACCAAACCAATTTCCATCTGAATTGCACCTGATCTATCAACCACTGCCCGTCATGTTACAACTCACAGTTTGGTTTGTGTCTGCCTTGACTTCCGCTCTTTGGACAACGTACAGAAAGCAACAAAAACTAACTTGGGTGAGTCCCCTGGTGGCCCTGGCCAATAATCAAGTGAACATCAAAAGGCTGTTGGGTTTTCTGGTCAAAACACTTGTCATGGCGACATTGAGTCAGACATTCCTGCAAGATCTGATCCACAATTACATTCTACCGTCCAAGTTGTCCCAATTTGAATCCGTGCCACTTCAACTCCCCAGTGCAACCAATGGTACTACCACCCCACTACGCTGTACTACTACTGACTTGGGGGTACATTACCACCAGTACCAGCAACCACAAAATCAATCGCCACCACAATTCCAGGCGCTCTATGTCAATCATGGATTTGGTGCATCCTCATTCCATGGGGTCTTTGGCCACATTGCAAATGGCACTGTCGTTGCCATCCGACATTCGAAAATGGGTTGTTTTGGTAGCCCCAGCGCTGGGAATGAGACCGACTGTAAAGGCCAATGGTAAACAAGAGGACGTACGTACTGGAACCAACACGCAAAAAGTTCGAATGCACCTCTGCCGCGAAGCTTCGCTTTTCTCCATTCTTCTTTCTTGGATGTTAGATCCATTGACTTCCTGTGAAGATGCAGCAGAAGGAAGCAGAGGTGCTTCACGATCGTCCGGAGCCGATACGGTACCGGAATGTAAGGGAGACACTTGAGGGTAGTTAAGTTAAATACTTGCTTGGCTATGAAAGAGCTCTGAAAGATTGTTACATTGTCACTGTGCTAAGTACATGTTACCGCGTCCAAAGCTGTCTTCCTCGGTATGCCAATACTACAGGTACCAGTGCGATGGAGAGGAGAGAGTAACTTGAAGCTCTGGTGGTTGAATGAGGGAACTGTGACAAGAACGGCTAATGGAACCGGTGGTCAGTGCCCAGAAAGAAAGGCTACTACTAGTAGCCAGAGGGAGTGCTTGGAGCTGAGGTGCATTACAACAACGTTACAATGTCCACGATAAACCATCAAAAGAGAAAAAGGGAGAAGAGGACCAGAATCAACCGTACGTACCCGTATGTGCGGGAGACACTAAAATAGCTTGAACGACAGCATTTTTTTATAAAAAACTGTAAATAAATGTAATTAATTGTCACGAGTGCCGGTACCAGGTACGACTGTACTACCTTAGCTCTACTAGTACTAGAACCTAGTACCTCACCCTCCACCACACCTCATGGTAAATTGGCTCTTAAGCTTGAAATGGGTTGGTAAAATTTCAAAACAAACAACCTTAATTTTGCTGAAAATGATTATGACTTGGAACAGAAAGGATCTCTGGCAGGGTATCACTGGCTTTAAAGCCTGGATTCCGGGCATTAAAGCCAGTGTTCCTAGGAACAGAAGCCAGTGATCCAAGGGGTTAAAGCCAGCATTCATTTCTGTTCCACAATGACTTTACTATACAATTATCAGTACAAGCATGTTCCAGCTGAAACAACATAGAAGACTGGCTTTGTTCCCAAATAAGGGAAGCCAGTGTTCCATGGAACACTGGCTTCACTGGCTTCAAAGCCCGGAATCCAGGCTTTAAAGCCTGTGTTCTTTGGAAGACAGGCTTCTCAGTCCTCAAAAAGGAATAAGTACAAAATTACTTAGCTTTCTGGAAATTATTATTATTTTAGTTGAAAAGCTCCTTTACCGAGTGGTGCCGGCACGTAGATGTAGTTGGAAGTTGGAGAGAGGAGAGGTGAAGTGTAGTGGAGAGGAGAGTGGAGAGGGGATCTGTGCATCTGTGCATCTGTACTTCTCTGGCTTGCTAGCTAGTCTAGAAGTCTACCGTATTCAGAGAAGCTTGATGCTTGAAGCTTGAAGCTGGACGAATTTCGACTGTAGCAGAAACAGAGCTACCACTGTGCTGAGACAGAGGGCAGTGGGCAGGACACTTTATATGTAGCTGGAAACGAACGAATCTGCAGAATCCAAATTTGTTTTAAGGTCTTAACAGACTTCGTAAACATGACCATTCAAAGCTGAAGCGAACGCCTGAAAGAACCCCAATCAGAAACATAATAGTACTCGTAATCAAAATCATTTTGCCTTTTGCCTGCAGGCCTGCAGGCCTACCGGTACAGTGGTCAGTGACAATGACCAGGAAGCAGAGAGCTTCCGACAGCGGGGTCACTCGACGCGTGCTTTTCGTGGACGATTGTTCATGTCTTTTGTAAGTCAAATGAAAAGAGCCATCAAGCCCACAAAAACATTCATTGATTCCTTGCAAAAACAGAATGATGAGATCTCCAACCTGTCTCTCCCTGCTTATCATCGCCTTGTTGCCCATGGCAAAGCTGTGGGTGCTTGCCCACCAACTGTCGGCTCCATGTGCCTTGAGAACGCCCGCACCAATTCCACTTGCTCCAATGCAATCTCGTGTCTACCGCGTTGGAGTGCTCGCCAATCGAGGCGTGGAGAGAGCAGTGTCTCAGTATCAAATGACATTTGGAGACTACTTGACCACCACGGTTGGCCCAAAGTTTGATCCTCCCATTTCGTTTGAAATGGTTCCAGTGCCTATCAGCGAAGCTCCAATAGATGAGCTCCCAAAGCACGACTATGTGTTTGCCAACCCAGCCATTGCTTCCTGCATCGACTCGGAAGTTGGCTTGAAACCGTTGGTCAGTCTCGTATCCAAGCGCAAAAGGGGGGACGAAGTCGTCGAGTTGTCTCAATTTGGGGGTGTGATCTTCACTCAAGCGGGAAACACAGAGGTCAACAATGTGCAAGACTTGAAGGACAAACGCGTTGCAGCTCTTGGTCTTTCCGCGTTTGGGGGGTACGTGAGAGAGGGATTCCTTTGTTTCATTCGCCTTATAAGACGCATCAGTGTCACTCACCAATTTCATTTCTTGGTATCTTCACAGAGCGCAGATGCAATTCCGGGAAATGATCAGGGCCGGCCTCCATCACCTGCAAGATCCCAAGCAAATACTCTTTTGCGAGACCCAGGGAAACATTGTGAAGGCAGTCCTTGATGGGAAAGCAGATGTGGGCTTTGTCAGAACTGATCAACTTGAACAGTTCATTGATCCTGCTACTGATCAAGTCCTGGACTTGTCCAAAGTCAAGATTATCAGACCCTTGCCAGAAGACCTGGCGGATGGAACGCCTTTTCCATTCATCAAGACCACACAGCTCTACCCAGAGTGGCCCTTCTCGAGCACACCCGATGTCAGCGAAGATATTGACCTGGAGGTTCAAAAGAGCCTTCTCGAGCTTTCGCAGCACGCGAGCGCAGCGTCTGCACTGTTGGAGTGCTACGAACAGAGCAACTGTACAAGTAGTCCTCTTCTGGATGAAGATGCCCGAAATGACTGCGAAGAAGCGTGCTTTCATGAGGTTCATCCCGTTGCCTCCGAAAGTTGTTTGGTAGACCGAGAGACAATACTTTTGGCTGACTTGAGTAAAACTGCTGCCAAGAATGCAGGATGGCGGCCATCTCTGTCATACATGACCATTCGAAACTTGCAGAGGGAAATAGACTTCCTACAAAGAAACGATGAAGGCAATTTTCAATGCGTGAGGGCCAAAACCCTTGCAGATGCCGTTGTCTGCCCTCAAGGACACTTCAAGAAAAACGAGAATGATATTGACACCAGTTGCGAGGATCTTGGGATGAGTTGCCACGGCTACAAGTGCGTCTGCAAGCCGTGCGTCAAGGCGTTTGATGTTGACTTTTCTTCTGCGTCGACGACTGCCAAGGGCGGTTGCGACAAGTTTGAGATGTGCGGCACTGTCCAACAAAGTGATGTGATTGCTTTCACTGCAGTAGACAATCGGAAGAGACCCAATGCAACGTTCGAAGTCAAGGTCCATGTGGAAGAGGAAACCGAACTGTATCCCATGCAGCGAGTTGACGGCAACAGTTCTTCCGAGGAGGTCTTCAGGTACCAGTTTGAGTTTGATGCTACGGACAGGAAAACTGGGTTCCTGATCATGGAAGTCACTGTCACCAAGAACGGAGAAACCGAGCAAATCCCTCAGTCGCCTTTCCGCCTCGAGGTGCAAACCAGAGACTGCCAAGAAGCCACCGGTGATTCTTTGCGGGTTGCTGATGAGAGCGGTAACTGTGTCTGCAAGACCTCATCGGTTGAGATTGGTTCCAGCTGCATCAGTTTGGCTGTGCTGCTTCCTGCCATAATCGTCCCAATTGTCGTGCTCCTCGCCATTGTCATCACTTGCATTGTCATCAAAAACAAGGTCAGAGAAGATCTCTTGTGGAAGATCACAAAGGAGGAGATTGCTTTTGGCGACCCACCAACAATCCTAGGGAAAGGTCATTTCGGGGCTGTGTACCTGGCATCATACCGTGGAGCCCAAGTGGCGGTGAAGCAAATCCGTTATGCCAATCAAGGGGTCTCAAATAACCCATCCATTCATTTGAAACAAGGAGGAACGCTAATACCTCTTCTCAAGGCCAGAGTGAAGTCGGAGTTCGACCAGGATGAAACATCTACATCTACGACAGAACTCGGGGATATTGAGACTGGATTTGGGAACAAGTCTTGCCTCTTTGTTGCACATCCGCAGAGTAGCCACAGCTCACCAAGCACTGCTCTCACTGGGAGGGCATTCACTCATTCCTCATCGATGCCCTCATCCTCGCCATCGCCCACGACGCTCAAGCGAGAGATCAAGATACTCTCAAAGCTCCGTCATCCAAACATTGTTACTGTTATGGGTGCCGTCGTTGACCCAGGGGGTCAAAAGATGATTGTGATGGAGTACATGGAATTGAAATCACTGACGGATGTCCTGCAAAGCAGAACAATGGCTGTGGATGACACGATGGTGTTGAGCATGGTTCAGGATGTCGCGCGAGGAGTACAGTACCTCCACGCGACAACACCCTGCATTGTCCACGGCGACATCAAAGCAAGCAATGTATTGGTTGACTCGATGTTCAGGGCCAAAGTTGCTGATTTTGGCTTGTCCGCGTCTCGTGGAAGCAGCCATGCGAGGGTAGCCCGTGGAACACCCTTCTGGATGGCTCCTGAACTTTTGCACGGCTTATCTGGCAACACTACAATGTCAGACGTCTATTCATTCGGAGTCTTCCTCTACGAGGCGTACAAGCGCCAGTATCCCTATGCTGGTGAAGATGCCGAAGAAGTCCTCCGCCTAGTCGCTGAACCAACCGTGAACAAGCGACCTCCAATTCCATCTCGCTGTCCTCAAGAAGTAGCTGAAGCTATGGAGGCATGTTACAGAGCAGACCCAAACCAGCGACCGACCTCTTCAGAGGTAAGCAGAATGATGGAAAGTATTACCAAGGACGGAAGCAGAGTGCAGTCATTGCTCTGGGAGCTTTTCCCACGCCACGTTGCTGGTAAGTACGAATGATATGTTTTGCTTGAATGAGCACGTTTGTCCCCTGATCCTTGTACCATCGCTTGCACCTATCAGCCGCCATCCGTGAAGGCCGCACAGTGGAGCCTGAGAACCACGAGACTGTCACGGTGCTTGTCAGTCGAATAGAAGAACATGAGACTTTGGAAGCAGAGATGTCCCCGGCCAAGTTCAGTAGCCTCCTGAGTCGTTTGTACAAGAAATTTGATAATTTGTGTGACCTGCACAACGTCTTCAGACTGGAAGAAGTGGGCAATGGTTTCATGTGCACCACCAACCTGGCTGAATCACAACCAGAGCACGCGCGTATCATGGCTGCCTTTGCTGCTGACGCCTTGAAAGCTGCTGCCTGCACGCTTCTTGATGACGACGATCCGTCACAAGGGTTTGTGTCCATCAAAATAGGCTTTGCATCCGGCCCGGTTGTGTCTCATGTGGTTGGAACCCGGTCGCCTCGTTTTGCCATTATAGGCAAAACGGTCAACTTGGCAACCAAACTCCAGACTTTCTCAAAGTCGGGTCGGGCTCTGTGTTCCGAACATGCAGTTGATTTCCTCCGAGAGCAAGATCCTTATGCACAAGTTGAATGCCGCGGCAGAATCAGTCTGACTGAACGCGACCAAGTCGTTGCTTACTGGGTTGGTGACATTGTCCTGCCGAGCACTCAGAATGCGGCTCCCGTAAGAGCAGCTCCAAGCAAAGTCGAGGACAGCCTCATAGAGTGGAATGTGGATGTGCTAAGCCGCGTCATCAAAGAGATCGTTGCTTCTAGAAGGGATCCAGCTTCGACCGCAGTTGAACCAGGAGACTTCCGTCATTTGACGTGTGCAACTGGAACAGTCTTTGAAGAGGTGAAAGAGGTCGTACCGATTCCTTCGTTCGACGCTGACACGGTCCGAAGAGTGAAGGAGCACCAAGGGATCGTCCTTCCCGCAGAGGTCACATCACAGCTCAAAGACCTCGTAACTAACATTGCAGGGCTATACAACGAAGACGTCCCATTCCACAATGTACGTACTGTGTGCTACCGGTATGGTCTGTTGAGAGCATATCGGCCAAGTCAAAACTCGCTTTCTTAAAAAATTCCCTGCCCCAGTTTGAGCATGCTTCACATGTGACTCTGTCGGTCGTACGACTCTTGAGTCGCATCAAGACTGTACCTTCTGAAGGTCAGGCTGGCAAAAATGATGCAGAAAAGACACTTCATCAATGTTCTTATGGGATAGCAAGTGATCCTGTCACCCAAGCAGCCATCATTTTTTCGAGCTTGATGCACGATCTAGGTCATGAGGTAAGCTGAAGACTTGCATACGTGCGTTGCGGAGGGTTAAGCCAAAACCAACTCAAAAGGACTCCATTTGTTGCACCTCAGGGCGTCCCCAATGCCCAGCTGGTGAAGGAGGACTCAGAAGTCGCCGTGCGATACAAGGGTCGAAGTAAGCAACTAATGTCGTCATCCATGGACCCTGCGGAATCAATGTCATACATGATTCTCCGCAGCCGCTGATCTCATCCTCCCGTCATTGCATGTAGGCGTGGCCGAACAACACTCCTTCGACGTCGGATATGGTGTGTTTATGAGTCCAAAGTACGAGCAATTGCGGCGTACAATTGCGCACACCGAGGAAGAAGCGGCCCGCTTCAGGCAAATGGTCATCAACGTGAGTTCTGCCTGTGGAGAACAATCCTATGGACGTCTTTCAACGCACTAACAGACTGTATGATGTCATATTATGATTTATTCGCAATGCGATCAAGTGCGTATTGGCAACAGATATCGTGGATCAAGAGCTGAAGCGACTCCGCAACAATCGTTGGGACAAGGCGTTTAGCGGGGAAAATGCGGGTAACGACGAGGCTGCTGTCAACCGCAAGGCCACGATTGTGATCGAGCACAGTGAGTTGTTTCATGGCCGTTTTCGTGCACTCACCCCTAACTTCGTATCGTCACTAATAGCTTTCCTGTTTCGTAACTGCTCTTCATTACCAGTCATGCAGGCCAGGTACGTGAAGGGAAAAGCGCACGACGCAACAGTATACGTCTGCTGTTCTCTTCTCACCCGTTTCGACTTTTCTATTCATATCCCACAGTGACATTGCACATACCTTTCAGCAGTGGCATACGTATCGAAAATGGAACCAGCGCTTCTTCTTAGAATGTTACAAAGCCTGGAAGGTAAGGGGTTTGCTTTGTACTGCTAAACAGCTTGAAATTGCTTGGCATCGGGTGCTGTAGCTAACATGCACTAACGATTGCCATTCTTTGAAAACTTCCCGGCTTGGTTCAGGAGGGTCGAGCGGACAAAGACCCCTCGATCGGCTGGTACAAAGGAGAAATCGGTAAGCATTGGCTAAACTTGTCCCGCGGAAGTGGTTTTCCAGGGCCGTCCTTCAGAGAGATCATCTCCGATACCGGTACTTACGATTTTTTCTCGTTGTCGACTTCGACAAGGCTTCTTTGACTTCTATATCATCCCTCTAGCTAAAAAGCTGAGAGATTCAGGCGTCTTTGGGGTGTACGGGGACGAGTACGTCCAAAATGCCGTGGCCAACCGTGAAGAGTGGGTACTATCGGGACAAGACGCCGTTGCCGAGATGATGACTAAGGCGAACAGGGTCAAGAGGTCAAAATCGATCTGGACACGGGACTCCAAGCAGCTCTCAACAGATTCAGAGAATTCTGAAGTGTTCGTGCGTGCCGCCGCTTCGTCAGAGCCCAACAGACCGCAGATGGAGCAAGCGAAACCAGCAAGGCGAAAGAGACCTGTCACGGCTTCTCCAGCAACGCCGCTGGGGGGGTGGGACGCGACAGCCGAGGCTTAATTCGAAGTGGCGCCGCAGTGGGAATGGGATTCACCGCTTGGGCGAAGCGAAAGGAGTGTGGCTGAGGCTGCTGAGGCTGCCGAGCTTGCAACGCTACACGTCCACAAGGAAACCACGCAAAGACGTGCTATGCTTTTGCCTTGGCCTTTACTTTACATAACATGTACCCCTAAAACCTATCAATCTAAGCCTTCCTCCGCCGGGCTTTTTTCTGTGAGCGATCCAGAGCCTCCGCCCACCGCCGCATCTTTTCCCCCTTGTTTTTCGTCGTCACCCACTTCGGGGCTTTTCGTGCATGATGGATCCTCAGGGCGACCCACAGCTTTTGCCCACCGCCGCATTCTCTTCTTCTTGCCTTTCCTGGCGAATTTGTATGCCTCCTTGGACCAGGGACAACCATTTTCATAAGCATACCTAAGCGCACGCAAATGACACTTCTTGGCTGCCTGGACACACGTGTATTTATCCCATGGGCAGCCATGTTCATGGGCATACTTGAGAATAGCTAAACGTCCCTTACCAGCGGCTTCCATACAAGTGGACTCATCCCAGGGGCAGCCCTGTTCGTGTGCATACTTGAGAATACCTATCTGACCGCGCCTGGCTGCCCTCCGGCACGTTTGTTCATCCAAAGTCCACCCACACCCATTTTCATGGGCATACTCAGGATTTCCAAATGGCCATTCTCAGCCGCTGCTATGCATGTCGATGCACGCCATGGACAGCCGCTCTTGTGGGCATACTCCAGAAGTCCCAAATGCCCCATCTTTGCCGCCCAGCTGCATGTCTCTTCATCCCAAGAACAGCTATTTTCATGGGCATACTTCAGCACTTCCAGATGCCCATGCTCAGCGGCAACATGGCATGTCTTTACATTCCAAGGACAGCCATGTTCACGGGCGTACTTAAGAGTGTCTAGATGTCCATTTCTGGCAGCATGTTCACACGTTCTTGCATCCCAGGGACAACCACTCTCATAGCAATACTCAAGAACATCCAAATGCCCATATCTGGCAGCCAAACTGCTGGACTCTCTGTCCATGGGACAGCCATTTTCATAAGCATACATCAGCACATCCAAGTGTCCATTTTCAGCAGCAGCACGAGTTGTTTGCATATCCCAGAGACAGCCGTTGTCATGAAGAAACTTCAAAACTTTCAAGTGTCCATTCCCGGCAGCAGCGCTGCATGCAGATTGATCCCAAGGACAGGCTTTTGCATGAAGCCACTTCAGAATATTCAGGTGTCCGTTCTTTGCAGCGGACACACAGGCAGATGAACTCCAGCGGCAGCCATTATCATGAGCATACTTGATAATGTGAAAGTGTCCACCTTCTGCGGCAGCAGCACACGTCTGTTCATTCCAAGGGCATTGATTTTCATGTAAAAATTTCACAGTGCTCAAATGCCCATTTCTGGCAGCCTCGTGGCATGTGGAATAGTGCCAAGTGCTGCAGCCATTCTCATGGGCATACCTGAGAATGTCAAGTTGTCCATAACGAGCAGCCTCCAGTTTTGTGCATCCATCCCATGGAAAGCCGCTGTTGCGTGCCCACCGGAACACGTCGATACTTCCAAATTTAGCAATGTATGTGCTTACGGCATTGTTGTGTGGCCTTTTTCCTTTCTCGGGGGCATTGTTCCACAATTCAGCACAGGACACACTGAAGAATATGGCACTGAAAAATGTAACAGAGCTTCTCGCCGCAATTTTGTGAGGTTTCTCTGATATCTTGACCACAGGAGGAATCTGGACATTGTCGCAATATTCTTTGTAAAGTTGATTGAGTTGTTTGCTGACTAGCCCAACAAAGGCATAGTGCCCCATTCCCAGAAAGGGAAAGATGCCGTCGACCCAGATGTCCTCCTGACGGAAGAATGAAGAATCAGGGGGTGGTTGGGATCTTTGGGAGGCTGTGTCATCCCTGCTGTTGCCGCTGTTGCCACTGTTGCCGTTGCTGGCTGCGTTGGTGTTGGTAGGATTCGGATTCGATGTCATGGTTTGGGAGGTTGGTGACGGACTTCAGAGATTGAGATGAAAGAGGTCAAATTTGTGAGCGTTTGACACTCGGCACAGCAAGCAGGAGACACGTCTCGATCAGACAGGCACGATTGCGTATGATCGAAAAAATGTTCGATGTTCAAAGATCGACAATGGGTCGAATAAACTGGAATGATCAAATGAGCGCCCTTTTTTACTATTGTTATTTATTATTATGCAAAGATTTTACTGCCTCGTCGTTGTGGAGCACTTCACGTGAACACCCTGTTATTTCCTCGAATGAACTTTAGAAACTGAGGAATAGGCGTCGTGGACACTTTGGACCGGGCGAGTTCTATGCATAGCAGGTAGATCTAGACTACCGTAGCAGCTCCGGTACATGTAGACAATGCCCACATGACAGCTCCATGTATGATAACTACGTATCTCACCAGCAATCAGAATTCAAACTACATAACCCAAAAGGGAAAATATTGGAAAAAAGCACCTTGAGTAGCTTGCTCTGTACTAAGCGCATGTCCTTATTGTTGGTTGTGCTAGCAAAGCAAGCAAAAGCCTCAGAATAATAGAGGCAGCCAACCAACCAGCCTGCTTTTGTTGGTTTACGTTTCTGTTTCTGACACCAACAAAGCACCTCTCTGGGTCTCTGGTTGAAAAAGACCTACCGTACCCCCGTTTCGGAAGCAAAAAAGAAGCACTTTTGGTACCGGTACTATGCCAAGGGCAGGCAGTATCGGAGTCAACTTACTTTATCGATTGAGACGAACTTCTCACGGAATAATACGATGGCATCTCGCCGCAATCTAGTCTACTGGTACTGACTTTTTGCGCCTCGAGACATTCTCTCCATTTCAACGTGGTCACTGGTCACAGACCAAGGCATCCACTCACCATTTTGGGCCAGTTGAGGAAAATTCGGAACACGACTGAAAGAAAGAGATCTAGTCGCACCCGACCATGATGCAGAAGACAGCATTAGAAAGGTAGTTGGAGTAATTATAGTGTGAAAGTTATATTTTACTGTCATGATTTCTGGTAACTTTACCGCATCTACCTGCACTCTAAAGCAGTAAAAGACCCAGCGATCCATATATTATTATTATTATTATCACTTGCAGTGCAGTGCACCAGTTGGCTCGAAAGCTGCTCGAACGAGCCTTTCCAATCGCCATTCGATTGGACCACCCTCTTGTGCCCGCAGCTTGACTTGGTCATTCCTTTCCTCCGTTGTTGTCCTCCTTCCATCCATCCATTCTTACATCATCTGTCAGCCAGATAGCTAGCTAGCTACTAGTAGTCCCATATAGTTGAGCAGACCAGAATAGAGCAGACCAGACCAGACCAGAACGATGCCTCTGAACAAAGGTCTGTTTGAAAAGAACATTGCGGGCAACGCCAGCAGCAGCAGCAATGGCAAAAGCGCTTCGCCTACTCCTCCGCGGCGCAAGTGGGGCAAGGCGGGGAGCAAGGCTACTAGTTCAAGTACAAGTACGCCAAGTAGCAACAGTGACGACAAACCAAAACCGAAATGGGGCGCCCCCAAACGATCGGGGAGTAACACGAGTATCGGGAGTACCGATTCGACGAGTAGCAAGTTCAACTCTTCCACCAGCAAATTCAATTCCAGTTCTTCCAGTTTTGGCAAATTGAATTCGTCTGCTAGTAAATTCAATTCCAGTTCAGGAAAACTGAATTCCAGTTCTTCCAGTTTGAAAAAATGGAATCAAAAGGAAGAAAAAGAGGAAAAAGTAAAAGAGGAACCACCTGTTGTTGTCACGGATGAACCTACCAAAGAGACAGCAGCAACAACACCCAAAGAGAGTGACATGAACAGCACACTGACCGAGTCCACGGCAGACATGACGGAAAAACTAGAAGCCAGCAATGGAGACATGGCTAGTTCTGGAGATGGTCCTGATCACAATTGGGCTTCAGCTGCGACTACAACAGCCACTCCTGAAGCAGAGGGTAAAAAAGGAGGAGACAAGAGCAGCAGCAGTAAAAAAGACGGCAAAAAAGGCAAAAAGAAATCAAAAGCGAGCGACAAGGGATCCATCTTTGCTCTCGATGAAGGCGACTACTTGAAAGAAGTTCCACCCGAAAAGAGGACCAAAGGAAAATTCGATTGGTCCGGTGTGGACAGTGTCATTGCGTCTGTCATTTTCGATAAGAAAATTGAAAAGAAACGCGACAAACTCAAAACAAAACTAGAAAATATCAACAATACGCGCGAAGACAATCTCCAAATGATGAAAGATCACGTCACGGAACAAAAGAAAAAACTCGATGAATCCAAAGACAAGGTCCGCAAACGCATGTACGAAGCCTGTGCGGGAATGACCTACACGGAAATGGAGGCAAAAGCACAAGAACAACAGGAAATTGTCAAGACACTCAAAAAGAGCAACAATAAACTACGACAAGATACCGAAAAAATGAGAACGCAAGTCAAGAATTTACGAGTCAACAATATGAAACTAGAGGCCGCCAATCAACAATCGGAAGCGGTACTGGAACAATTGAAGGATCGCAAAAAGAGTGTCGATGCCCGCTACGAACACTTGACCAAAGTCGTTATTCCACCCTATCAAGAACGCATCAAGGAAATGCAAGATGTCGTAGAAGAACGCAAGTTATATGGACACAATGAACATCGGACGCGGATGCGATATGGAAATTACATTATTCGATTCATTGATAAAATCGATCAGAGTGGGGAATCCGACAAATTCAAGACACTTATTTTTGAAATGGGCAAAGAGATTGAAGGTGGAGAAATACCCGACTTATCTGATGACGATTCCGATTCCGAGGACATTGACGAAGACATTACCATGCCAGTGCCTCCTGCCAATCTTGGAGAATCCATCGTGTTGGGAGATATTGCCGACAAAAAGGACGATGATGATGATGATGACGACGACAACAACAATCACAAGAGCAGCAGCAAAAACAACAACAAGAGCGTCAGCAAGCAGGACGACAGGTCACTGTGGGATCGACATGGCAGCAAAGACAAGAACAATAAATCGTCGGGAAAACTCAATGCCAGCTCTGGAAACATGGGAAAGCACAACGATCTGCTCGAAAAGGCCAATCGAGCCAAGGCCAACAATTTCAATGGGGCCGTCATTTTGTCCGATAGCAGCAGCAGCAGTAGTAGCAGCAGTGAGGACGAGTCGTCCGTTGGAAGTAACGATTCGTGAGTGCCCCCAAACAAGCAACGGCAACAACTTATTTGGGTGTGTGGAGGATGGTGGTGTCATTTGATGTACTGTATTTGGGTCATGCTACGATCGATACGATACGATACGCCCAGGTGTAGCGAGAAGACCGCCCACACACACACGACAATCTACGCACATGTTCGAACACTACGAAGAGCTTTTGTTCGTTTCATGTTTCCTCTCGTGGTGCTTTCATACACCCCATTCCAAAACCCAAAGCTATCGTATCGTAGCCCGCGAGTCAGTTTGGTAGATCCCCTTGTCCAGCCGTGCAACACGAAACGGAGAAAAAAGCGCACATGGCAGATCCAACTGAAACAAGGAAATAGTCGAGTGACAGGTCGAATGGCCTGACTAGGTGCGTCGAACAAGGGAATGAATCGAATCGATCGAATCAATCGTTACAAACTTAACGCGACAACATGAAACGAAAGCAAGTCCACCTACGACCAGGGCTCGGGTTTTTGAAGCAGGCAGGAAACCGAGTGGGTCTGAACGCTTGGGCAACAACAAAGCGAGAACAGCTGCCGGAACAATGATCCAATTTGTACCGTTTACAACCAAGTAACAGACTGGCCAGGGCTGGGTCGACTGTGGCGTAGCTCATCCCAACTGCTTCTCTAGTAATAACACGTTGGTGTGCCTCTGTTCTACGAGTGACTCAGTCGAGTCGAATTTCCATGTACCGTACGATCGCAAACTTAGTGTTGGGGCGCGTTGGTAGATCCGGTACGGCAGGTGCAGTGCTTCCCCCCGCGGCATAGCGGAAACCAATATCTGTTGCTTCCTACTGAACAGAGAGACAATACCATTTGATCAGCACGACACATGATTCAGGAAAAAGGAGGCTGTGGCCACCGGCGGTATCGTTTCGTGCTGCGGTGGAAGCTGGTGGATTTCTATTGTAGTGAAGGCATCAACTTCACCGCATCGCTCGTATCGTACCGTATCGAGCCCTCGAAGCTTTTGAATTCTGGAATGTTCAGCGTTTTTAAAATATTCAATGCTTCTTCGATAGGGGACATCTACCGTACCGGTATATACGGTAGATCTCATCAAGATACATGGGTGCTTGACATCCTACTCTGGTTTTGCTGGTGGAGTTAGCTGGCGGAGTTAGCTGGCGTGATCTGCTTGGCTGTTGCAAGTGTAAATTCAACATGACGCCACTGCCAAAGGAATGTGATGTGATTTCGAAAATGCGATGGGTCTGCAACGAAACATTCAATCCATAATAGCTTGGCCAGTTGGAAGTCTGTCGAGTTGAGTAGGATTAAAGCCATGGCATTCCAAATAGCAGGAAACCTCTTGTCGAGTGGCCTCAAGTCAGGGCAGAAACTGTGATGAAGATAGTAATGTCCAACAATCCATATCCGGAGCTATCGGGAGTGTTTAAAGCCATTTTGGGCTGGAAACCCTTCATGTCAAATATCATGGTGTTGGAACTGTGTTGCAATGCATGGGAAAGGTAACGCCCAGGAGCCTCTTGGATGAGTGCCTCCAGGTCAAGGAATCTGGGATCTCGTATTCTTCTCAAAACGTTGCGGGTGCTTGGCTCTTTGCTGCTATCACGGCTAGTTGAGAGTAGAAGAAGTCTGACTTTTTGTCCAGCTCTGGAGTCCCCTCAGTGATTACCTTCATGGCCACGTCTTGTCGTCTTGTCTCCTTTCCTCCGGAGACAATTCCATTCTATCCTTCTGGGATCATCAATCCCCAGCCAATCGTCTCCTCCTCTTCTAGCTTGGTGTGCCATATCTACAATAAGAAGAGCACATCTTGTGGTTTGCTCGTGCATGTATCTACAGTGGCCGTGGTACTCTTCGTAGCTCGCTAGTGTACCTACCGGTAGCTAGTGCCGTCGTAGCTGGCACCAGACCGCAACACCCGACCCAAGATAGTGCACAAGCGAAAATCCTATTCTTTGCAATGCAAAACTGTGCGCTACAAGGATTATGCATCATCACAACAAGGAGAATGTGTGTTCGTTGCGGTAGCGCTTTGCCAGTGCAGCCTTCCATTGTTGCAATGTCTTTTGATTGGATACTTCAACAGACGGGGATAAGTAAATCTCATCAAGATACATGGGTGCTTTGCACCCCACTTTGATTTTGTCGGTGCCCATGTTGGCAGGAATGATTCGTTTGAACGTTGCAATCATCATATTACACATGGTGGAAGTATGAAAATGATGTGACTTCTGAACACGGAATGGGTATGCAGGAAAGCATTCTGTCCACACGCGCTTAAGGAATTTCATGTTGATATGCTGGGAACCATCATAGCCATGGCATTCAACATAGAAGGAAACCCCTTGGCGGATGGTTTCAAAGTCAGGGCAAAAGCAGTGATGCATATAGTAAGTTCCCATGATCCATGTCCGGAACTTTTCAGGTGTGGATAAATCAGTTTTGGGTTGAAATCCCTTGAGGTTAACCATCATGGTGTAAGAATTGCCATTAAACTCATAGGAGAGGACATGTTGCGGAGACAGCTGAATGAAGGCCTCCAGCACCTGGCAACCGTCTGTCAAAGTATCCATAATCTTGTATTCCTCTCGCAAGGCTTGCAGTTGCTTGACTCTCTCCAAGGCTCGTTCAACATTGCTCCCCTCTATCAGAGCAAACTGGCAGTAAAAGAAGTCTGACAAGTTGTCCATCTCGGCAGTCCCTTCAATTGCTTGCTTAATGGCTATGGCGTGTCTCTTTTCCTCTGGAGACAAATCCATTCGACGAGGATCATCAATTCCCAATCGATTGTCTCCTCCTGTTCTTTGGGCTTGGCGTTCCATCCTCCTGCTTATAAGATATGATAGCTCGAAGTTGTAGCGTTGTAACAGATGACTCCACTCTTTTCAGAGGTCGGTAGGTTGTGTTGTGTGAATCCTTGCTTTGCTGCTCAGTTCTTAATTAGCGAAACTGGGTCGAAAGCTTGAAGGAACGGACGGTTACGGAAGTGGAAGCAAGGAAGCTGTTCTTCTATTACATGTAATAAGAACCACCGGTATTCGTGTGTTTGTAATAAGAACCTTTGCAAAACTTGGGTTAATTACGTAACAACTCCCTCCTGTACCGGTATGTGGGGTGGTACCCGTAAAAGTGATTACCGCGCTAGAACACCACTTCATCTCGCGCAAGCCGAGCTTCGAAATTTCAGGTCCGACAAATAAAATTCCCACGGATCTTTCCGTTTTTCAAGTCGTCAAAGCCAATAAAATCAGGCTTGGTCGAGGCTTCTTTGCTAGCACTTGCCTCCTGGCTGTTGTCCTGATTGTCAGATAGAGATGACGACCGGTGAGAGAGCGCTTCATACTCCGGACACACAATTTCGTTTGGTGTCGACGTCTTGGAAGCATGAGGACTTCCACTGGTACTAGTACAAGAAACGATTCGACCAGGACCGACGTCGAGATTATGCAAATCAGTTGTACCAAGGAAGGAGGCATCCTCTTCCACACCCTCGAAGTCTTTGATTCCCATGCTGCGCAAGAGATCAATTCCCATGCTAACAAAAGGACGTCCAGGTAAGGTGTCTTGCAAAAGGAACTTGATTCCACCCATTAAGTTGTCATCTCCAGTGGGCATAACCCCGACGATCACCGCAGCGTGCCGACTGGTGCCAGCAGGATCGGCTTTCAACTTGTTCCAATCTCCACCAAATTCCGTCTTGTTAGGGTCTTCAAAATCCGGAAATGTGCGCAAGCCACATACAAGGAGTGCTCCACGTTTTTTCAACTGCTTTTGGGTGGATTTGGCAAGAAATCTGCTGCCTTCTTCGTCATCTTCGTCAATGTCGATTTTACGGCTACGTTGTGCGCAAGCATCGGGATGATGAACGACGCTACATGTATGCGTCAGCAATGTCTCGAGGATTCGTTGCGGGTAGCATCCATCTTCGAGGAAGATAGTCCGGTATACCTGTTCCTCTGTGAGGTTGTTTCGCATGTAACGACCAATGTTGATGCCCCAATGTTTGACACCTGCCTCCAGATCCTCTCCAGTTCTCTGCATCATGCAATAGAGAAGGACTTGAGCGGCGCTGATAATGAAGCATATCATGGAGTTCATTTCCTGAAAACGGACAAAAGGCTTCTCCACGCGATTTCCAGATGTGCCTTTGTGTGTAAAAATAGTGAAGACGTTCTCGCAGCCACGCCAGTCTGGATGGTTGGTCAAAAACTCGTCCCAGTAATCGCGGTCTTCGGCATCGTTCTTAGAGAGGATTCCATCACCTCCTTTGCGGAGAAAGGCCGCAAGTGGAGAGTAGATCGTGGGGTTCCAACATATCTGGTTCACTTTTTCCATCATTGCGGTCGCCACCGCCCCCATGTCTTGATTGTAATTGTTGCGTAAAAGCCACTCGTGCTGCTTTTTGTAGATAAGAAATGCAAGAGCAACTTTTTTGTGGGGCTGCAACTGACCCCAAGAAGAGCAAGAAGAGTCTGTATGATGCTTCAGGATTTCATTGGCCGCCGTCACGATCCAGTCGAGAGGGACTTCGTTGAACAAGTCGGCAAGAGTCACGAATCCAGGCTTGCCCGCCTGGGTTGGGGTTTGGTAAGCACTTTGGCCGGCGGTTGTGGTTGACTGGCTGCTGCTGGTAGCCGTCAACGTTGGTGGACTAGACGGATACGTGTTCGATTGGGGGTTGCTCATGGTCGCGTTTGGGATGAAGAAATGCGTGCAATTCTGTTTTGCTTGTTGTGATAAAATAAATGCGCAGGTTCTACATGGGCGATAGTTAACACAATGAGTAAATTTGATTGGCCAATCGAAAACAATCGAGAAAAGGTCTGTTCGTGTGACTCGAAGGTCTCCAACATCGGAGACTCGATAACATTAGGCCAATGCCAATCTGGGATAATTCATTCATCATCAAATCGATCGTAGTCCTTTGGTCATGCATTCTCCTCTTCAGAGGATACACCTTGACCACCAAGCTTATAGTTAGCTATTGGCGCGGAGACAAAGCTCGAGCAGAAACAGTGTCTTCTTCTGGAACTACGGAGAGGACCCCTGAAGGAGAGTGTTTGCTTCGAGTACACCGAGGAGGAACCCGAAGAAGGTGCGACCAAGGAAGGTGCTAGCGAAACTGAGGGAGAAGGCACTAGTAAGACAGAAGAAGACCCCAATGCAGCCATGTGCCGTGGTGGATGATAGCGATGGTGATTGGTGCAAGAAGTAAGTACATTGGCCGGCTCTGGGCCACGAAAACACCAGTACTTGTGATTGCTTTCTTTGCAATGGCTGGTGAACTGGATGGTTGCTATGCTATGCTTTTAGTTTGGGGAATTACAAGAAGAGTCTGGTTGCAAAGACTTTGTGATGCTTCCAAGCGCGAAACAGGCAGAATACCCATATTTTTTCTTTGTTGATGTCGGTAGCGAACGTATTGCCATTGTGGGTTGCTCGCTCCAAAGAAGGGTGCGAAAGAGGCTGCAAGTCCAAAGTTTCTTCCCTACGTACCCGATCCTACCGAGCTTTGCCCACGTCTTTTCTCCTCTTCCTCAGCTAGCTCGCAAGCTTGGCCACAGTACCGGTACGTGGTACAGTAGCTTGATGCCGGGAGGTAGGCGCCCTTTCTGAAGCACTGCATGCAAACCACGGGTGCTCGAAAGTGCGCCAAGCAAGATGATACATGTAGCGACAAGGAGCCCCAGTCGAGGTCCGACCTTAGTCGAATCATCTATGGCGTCATCACTCACTCTCTAACGGGTATGGTACCGGTATCTTTCCACACGATCCACTAGGGTCTGGGTTGATCCTAACCGAAGCCACCAACACCCAACACGACCCAAGCAACAGCCGCATCGCCACAATGTCAGCCACCGACTTGACCACCAACAACCATACATCTACGAGCCATCGTCCATTGCACTCTATTGATTCGTTGGAGATCTTTAATAAAGCACGGTGTGGTAACAACGCTGAGTGGTGATCGTTGTTGTTATTTCAGCATCATTTGATTGAATTCCTTTGAAAAAAAGAGAGTTTGAAGAGGGCCGCAGTTGTTGAAAAATGTCTACAAAACGAACACGAATTAAAGTTCCAACTCGCATGGTAGAAGGAGGCTTTGAATTCAAGTTCGAAACCGATAGCTATGATGTCCCACTGCATGGAATATTATCCCCCCAAGACTACACCTCAGTGATTGACCGCATCAACCAAAAGATCAAACCAGCCAGGTCCAATGCGATTGATAAAGGATTGCTCGCGGCTGGGCCACTCCTTGTACCACTGGCGTTTTGGGGAGCCCGGCATAGTCTCCAAAGTCGGAAACGCAAGCGTCTACTCAACGAAGCCATTCGAGAATTCAACGAATCTCATCCGGAGCTGTACATGAGATGGAATCGAGGTGGACCCGAATCATTTTTGACTATTGAACGTCGACCAGCCGAAGCAGCCTCACCAGCTGTTCCACCCGCTGCTATGGGAGGCCCAATGGTCCCGTACCCCGCGGCTGCTGGTAGCAATAGCAACAGTGGCAATATGATGGGCGGCAACATGATGGTGGCCGAGGCCAAGTTGGTGGTATAGTGGCGTCTTGTAGTTTGATACTGCCAGAAGAGGTACCGGTACTTGGTTAATTGATTGGCAACCGTTTTGCCCAGATCAGCAATGATTGTAAAACGAGCACCCCATGCGTGCACTAATGTCGAACGAATACTGTACACAACGATTGGAAAGTATTAATAAGTTTTGTTGCAGCTCTCCCGCTTGTGCCTAGATCTACAAGAGCTAGTGGACTTGTTGATTCAAAATATACTTTCAGATTCAAGTCGCAGCTGGCTGGTGCGTTGCACCATCATCGGTGTCAGCGCACCGCACCAATCTTGCACTCGGTAGGAACGCGTGAAGGAGAAACAGCGCCACGCACCATGCCTTGTCCCGCCTAAGCCTTAACCGTTGATGCGTGTTGTTAGAATTCACGTTTCTCCGGATAGCTGTCACCTTCCGATCTTTCATTGCTTCATCTTCCGATCTTTCTATTACTAGCTAGACAGCAGTAATGCACAAAACAGCTTGAGATATCCAATTCTTACTTCATCTATCTAATTGCTGTCCCTCTGTCTCTGGTTCTGACAGCAGTCGCCAAAGAGCCATTCAATTGGATTTGTGGGAGCATCAGTGTTGAATGGTGTCTCTTTTTGGAAGAATCTTGGTACAGACTCAGAAAAGGCCACATAGGTAAATTGACCCATTCTCTTGTGCGTGGAGCTGAACAGATGATGGAAGGGATAGCTTGAGGAGTTTCCTCCAAGGGGTAAAATCAACCTGTTGCCCCCCGTAACACAGTGTACCTCGCTAGCACATACATGTCATCCTCAGTCATGTCTCCAAAATGTGTGTTTTTGGTTGCATTGGTTGTGGTGTGGTGCATTTGGCCATGATTTGGTCACCTGGGAGAGGTGCCTTAAAATGGGCCCCCTAAAAAATTGGTGATTGAAATCACAGCCACCACCTCAAGGCGATGGAAGGCTTCCTTTGGTGCTTAGGCTGCCTTGTTGAACATTGGTTAGGGATGGTATGTTGGTGTTCAAGTAGCTGTATTCAGAAATCTCTTTTTCAATGTATTGAATTGGGTTACTGACCAGATACCTATCCTGTTGGGACTGAGCAACCAGACTGCTGCATTGGCTACACAAGCGCAGCAACACTGGTCGCAAACTTCAGCCAACAATGTTTTAGACGTGGCTACAGAACAACCCTGGCATCAATGAATGAAGCAGACCAACATCAGGTGAATGTTCCTTGGGAGAGCAGATGTGCAGCCAGCTACAAGTTCTACCAACTCCAGGACTTCCAACGCAACATTGCCCGACATGGACCCTGTTGCAACGGCACCTCTGGTCTCTTCCATGCCATGTCGGGCATTCGCAACATCTCTCCTTGCAGCGTAGTGGTTGTGGTTCCACTTGCTTAGAGTTTCCTAAGAACCCAAGGCACTACGGTACCGAACAGCAACACAGGCAGGAGCAAAGCAACCCTGTTGCAACGACTGCAGTCTCGAAGGTCATTTCTTTCCTACCGTATCCTGTCGGGGCTTGCAAATGGAACTTCCTGCAGGCTTGAAGCCACTCTACAGCTCGACGACTACATGGTACCAAGCCCATCGAATCTCTCGGGCTTGCCAATGGAACATCCCGAGCCCCGAGCGAGCTCGTCGCCGGCGCTTGTCCTGCGGTTGATGTTGAGGTACAGCAGTAGAGTGTTTGAGCGAAGATTCTCTTTCTCGTTTTGTCCAAGACCAACCTCCAAAGCTGCACTGTCCAGGTGTACAACCGATAATTAATTGTCCTCCTTTTCATGCCCCATACATTGTGCGTTAACTCCTCAGGTGAAGCTTATTTTGAAAGGCAAGTGCTATCAGCGCGCGTGAAATTGCTTCGTGTCGTGTTAACGTTGTTTGTCTGTGGGGTGTGGGGGTGTGTCATGTGGTGTTGCATGCTATGTGCAGAGTGCAGGGAGCAGGGAGGCTTCAACTTCTACTCGGGTGACCAATATGGCTGTGGGATGGGATGACATAGCTGATGACATGCAGATACACTGTCCTGTTATGCAGTCATTGATGGTAGTGTGATTGTCCCTGTGCCTTGTGCCTTCAAGTCTTCAAGTTACATTGGAATCTCTTCGTTTGAGGTTCAAAAGGTCGCCACAGGCCACAGGACATTGCACAACGCCTGAACGTCTGCCTCAAGCCACATGCAACTACTCAGTTGCGAGAGAAAGGGACAGCATGGGAGTCTTACGGGCAGTTCCGTGCTGCACCAAAAGAGGTTTGTGCTTTGCCTTTTGTGCACTCCATCCCTGCCAAGTCTTGCAAGATGGAAGAACAGACTTTCCCTCAACGTACAAACCGCCAAGAATATTATGGACCTGTTGCACCATTGCTCTTGGACAATACCGTTTCAGTTCCGAGAATGGAAGAAGGTAATAGTCATGGGACATTCTAATTGCAGGGTTTGGTTGCCGCGAACATCTTGGTTCTGTACCCATGGCGGTATCAGTATTGACCTTATGGAAAGAGTGCTCCGAAGACATGTGCTGAGTTCATGTAGGTGGTTTAGGGAAAGGAGAAGCTGAATTAGGTTACTAGCTGGTGGATGCGGTTGAAATGTGGAACGATGGGCAAGCCCCAAGCCCCACGATGATCTACCATGGTTTTAGTTGTGAGGCTGCTTTTAGATCGCGCTACATTGATGCTTTCTAGATGGTTGGATTGAAAAGGAACTTGAATAGATTTGTTAGCACGGTAGATTAGGTTTAGATACTACTAAAGTACATGTATGTAATTCCATTCCATCAAGAACTTCTGGCTCCTTCCATGGTTCGTTCCAGCTCTTCCACCAAAAGCCCAATGCCTGCCCCTCGTGGCGTATCATCATCACTCTCTTCATCCTGGTCCTGTTGTTTTCCCCTGGTGCAGTTGTCCTCGTCGTCTCCTTGTTTGAGTTTTGGCAGAGGGCTGGCAGTATGACAGACCACGCAAAGGACAAACTCCACGTTTACCATGCAGATGAGTTCGGTCTGGCAACCAAGGCAGGTCGTTCTGGTAATGGCTTGTGCATGCTGCATTCGGATGGCTTTTCGTGTCTTGGCGGCAGTGCCTACGTAGGGAACGGAGAATCCTGGTACAATCTCCAACCAGGGGTCGCTGGGTGTAGTGGTGGAGCTGCCGCTGCTTGGAGTGTCCTGTTGCTGCTGCTGATGGCTGCTGTGGCTGCCTTCCTCTTCTTCTTCGTCTTGGCTGTGTTCGGGCTGTTCTTCACTTTCACCACTTGCATGGCTGTGACTTGCATGGCTGTACTGGCTGTGTCGTCCTGATTCGTCGACAGCTTCACCTTCATCTTCCTGGTCTGCTTCCACTCCGCTGGACAAAGAAGAAGAACGATGTTGAGCCGAGAGACAGGAAAAGGTGCTCTCTTGGCGTTCCAGTTCGACCGTCAAGGGAACACCCACACCAACAGAAGAAGCACCCAATGCGGCATCGGGAGCTGATGACCGTTTTGGAGCAGCCGCAATCTTTTGATTGGACTCGAGGGCCAATGCTTGCAGGGTAGCTTCGCAGCTTTTGACTGATTCTCTGATGCAATCTTTGGGGACCATGGGATACAGAGGACGTTGTTGGGTTATCCAGCTGGTCTTTGGAATGGCCAGGTTGGATACATCATGGTGCTCACCCCCATGGAACAGCACATAGCTGTTCAGAGACGAGGTCTCATCGGAGCAGGAACTGACATTCATGGCGGAAGAGGTTGGCTTCTTCTTTGTGGACTTGATGGTTGGGTTTATGATGATAACTTGAAGAAGCTTCAGCGGATTTGTGGCGAAAGTCTGGTCACACTGGAGGAGAGTGGCGGGTCAATAGTGTACCGGAGATAGTACTGGCTGCTGGTGGTGGTGCGAAGGCGATCTATTATGCAAGGTGTGACTTGAAGGCAAGCAATGATCAGTGATCAGTGACGAAGTGACGGTACCGCTGGATCTGGCTTGGTTACAGTAGCACTTTATGAGGGGCAAGCCGTGCTTGCTTATCCTCTCTTTTGGACAGAGTCGAGTCGAGTCACTCCTTGCCGACATCCACACAGCAATAACATACATACACCAACAATAAAAGACTCGGCCTGTCAGCATCCAAAGATATTGTGGAGAGTGTAGCTAGAGTATTACGGGGCTTTAGTAGCTTGCTCTTGGACGCTTGAGTTGGCATCTTGGTTTCGTGAACACACTATAGCCGTTGTGTACTCAAATGGTCGACTTGAACATGCACTGGAGAAGGGATCCGTAATAAAAGGAAATTTCGAATTGATATTATCCGCTACCCAGAGGTACCTTCGTACCTTCCTTATTTACAGTTGACGGATGCTTCTTCCAAACAGCTTACCAATGAAGCTGCTGCGTACGATAGCGTATCATAACTAACTATTAATACTCTACCCGCCCGAGTAGAACACTCACTATAATGAGTACTGATAGTACTCCATTTTAATAGTACAGGTACAAAAGATTCAGTGGCTCTGGTACCGTACCAGACTCGAACACTTAACACTTACTCCGTGGACTCTACAGTATGAATCATAGTTGCCACCCCACGTATCCGAAGAACAGAAATCCTTTGTTGGGAGAGCATGCTGAGAAAAGGAGGTTTAAGTCCAATGGGTATCGTTATGTCATTTAAGGCCAGTTAACATTGAAGTTGGACATGACATTGTGCTGGCGATCAGATCAAACCACCATTATTTATTATTTATTTTGGGTTGCCTCGGATTCGATTCATTCGATTCCTCACCATTGCAGTCCGTTCTGTCGTGTCGCGGGAGTTGTCCGGGACTTTTTGCCGGGTTCACCCTCCATCAACGTCTTGCTACTACTCGCAGCTCGCAGCCCGGCTACCGGAGCTATGGTTGGATGGTTGGTGGATAGGGGTAGGTTCGATTCTGATGGTAGACGAATGAGAGTGCGGAGAGGTGCACCAGCTCTCTCGCAATTGTTCATGGCGTTCATAGCTAGTACTCGCCACTGTTGGCCATTGCTTGGCCTGCGAACTTGCCAACTTCACGTGAGACGTTAGTGGCCACGCAGCAACTCCTTTGTGGCTCGCCTTCGCTTAAGGATGTCCCACGGGGTATACAGTGAATTTTAGTTTTAAGAAATTATTAGCTCACTTTTTCAAGAGCTCTCGAAATAGATAAAGTGGTTGTTAGCTCTCAGATCTATTCTCTGATTT